GTAAATCTGGCAGTAGGCAATGTCTTCTGCCCCCGGCCACCCTCCCTGGCCGCCTCAACCCCATTACCTCACCCACAGTATTCTACTCTACAAAAGGAAAATATCACAGAAATGCTTAAGCAGAGAACTTTCACAAGAACAATAAATTATGTTGACCAGACCACACACTAGAAGGTGAAGGGACGACGACGTTTTGTAACACCACTCTTTTGTACCACCACTATAATGTGTCACCACTATAATGGTTACTAAACTAATAATGTAAACACTACTTATCCTGAGTAACACTTCCCCATTGGTTGCACTTGGTAACACTGTTATGGGCTGACATATGATGGTTACACTGGGACTACAAAGTACACTGCCAACAAGGAGATGCTAACACAGGATGAAATATGCTGCCACCATTTGCCTTTGACCATTGAGACTATATCAAGCAACGAGGCAAGAAACATTGCTTGACTTGGAGAGTACTTTCTATGACTGTCATTAATTATGGAAACGGTTGTCAGTCACTATATCCAAAAGGCTCAGAGGATTCAACAATTGACACAGACGGGAAATTTAACATGAGTTTTATTGACACCAAAATTATGTCAATCACCACTTATAAATCCTACTCTAACACTGGCAAAAAATTTAAGTAATTTGGACATGGAACAAAACCTCAGAGATCACACACGTTACCTTAAGACCTCTGTCTCTCCCTGGCTGAGATGTTCTTCACAGTCCTCTCTGGACCCCGGTGTCCGGCACTCTCCCCTTACTAAGTCCCTACAGGACCTCTATATACAACCCCCACAGGGGGAGGGGGAGATATGCTGTTGCTACCCAGGTCAGAAATGCTAGGGGGGTCGGGCCACACGTGCACAAACACTTAAACAATATTTCAATAAGCTTGTTTGACATTCACCATACACTCTTCAAGAGAGGAGTTATTAATTACGTGTGTGACTGACCTCTGACCTGGCCAAAAGGGGGAGATTCATGAATGTTTACACATAAGAATCTGGGGTCTAATTCCCTTGCCTGAAATATTACATACTTGAAACTATGCTGACTAAGACTAACCCAGGAATTTTTTTAATCAACATACAAGATAAACCGGAGGTCATCTGGGCTGACCTCTTGGAGAAGGCTTCCCTGGGTGTGAACTCTAAGGGGGAGGGGAGGTCATGGGTGTTACAGTTTCGGTCCCTCCTGGTCCATTCTCAAGTCGATTGTGAGTGGTCACAATCGACTCGAGAATGGACCAGGACGGACCAAAACGTCGTCGTCCCTTCACCTTCTAGTGTGTAGTCTGGTCAACATAATTTAGCCACGTTATTGTGACTCATCGCCTGCAAAGAACAATAAAGCTAAACAGGGAGATGAAGAAACAGAGCAGACGTGAAGCGATCATAACAGTCAATGGAAATGAAACTGGAACAAAGCTATACAAGAGAAAGAAACATCCACACTATTTTTTCACATATGCAAAATCAAACTGAAAAACGTCCTCCAGTATTGGACGTATACTTACAACTGAAGGTTCGTACACAGAGGATGACAAAATTAGGATGAACTTAGTGAAATCCTAAAAGGCCAGTATGAGGCTATGTTTAGCACCCTAATACAACAACATGAAATACAACTGATATCAACACAGACAATACAACTGATATCAACACAGACAATACAACTGATATCAACACAGACAATACAACTGATATCAACACAGACAATACAACTGATATCAACACAGACAATACAACTGATATCAACACAGACAATACAACTGATATCAACACAGACAATACAACTGATATCAACACAGACAATACAACTGATATCAACACAGACAATACAACTGATATCAACACAGACAATACAACTGATATCAACACAGACAATACAACTGATATCAACACAGACAATACAACTGATATCAACACAAACATACAAGTTTTTTGAAAGATAAATAGACAACATGCCCACGCACTCAGCCCCGGGTCCGGGACTCTTGGAACTCAATATTCATAAAAGAAACGTAAAGTATCAATACCCCGAGCACTGTGTAATATGGAGGGAAGAGAATAATCTAAGATGAGGTCTGATAAAGACCTTTTGTGCCCTCTGTAATGCTTTTTGCGCTACCGCTCACAGCATGGGTATGGGGTGCACAATAAACTAGCCGCCTCGGGGGGGGGGGGGGGCCAACAATCACCAGCAGATATTGCTCCACTGCACAAGGCAGTTGCACTAACATCACATATAATAAACAGTTTTTGAAAGAGTGATTAGGGATCAAATCTCCAGTTTTATGGAAAACAATGAATTTGACAATACAGGTCAAGGTGGACTTAGAGCGGGGGAGATACAGTCTGTCCCAACTACTCGATCACTATGACAATTACAAAGATTGATTGATGAAGATTAAGCCACCCAAGAGGTGGCACGGGCATGAATAGCCCGTAAGTGGTGGCCCTTTTGAGCCATTTACAAGTATCCAAAGATGATACTGGAGATCTGTGGAGGCGCAACTGCACCCTGCGTGACGGGAGATGTCTCCCAGACAAATGGTGCAATTACATACGTTAGAAGCAAAACAAAATGCTGATGTTGTATACAGAGATTTTTACAGGCCAGCTGCCTGTTCTTTCGTTATCGTCTGAGGACCTGGATATAAAGAGATTGACGGGTCGCGTTCCAGGATGAACTAGGGAGGTAAGGTTTAGCAGGCAACCCGTCCTCATAATATAACGTCGCATTTTGACTTATACTCAACCTAAGGCCAACAATTATTGTACTAGAAAATGGAAGTGGCTCGTGAAATTGATGTACCGTCCCATTTTCAGTTTTGGGTCCTCTTGTAGGATAGGTGACCAAAAAATGGACGTGATTTGAAATGAAATCTGCTCACGAAACAACGCATCCTCCGATTAGACAGTACGTTTTAATACTTAATATAATAAGTACATTCCTTACTGTCTGCATAGTACAAAAATACACTTAATTGTGCCGTTACATTTACCTCCCCATATACTCGTTTTCTGTTAAGACACTCAAAATTTTAGGGTGAAGTTTTCATGTTCAATTCTTTATACACAAGTTTTAAATATACAGATTTTCTTTCAGTTTTATTAAACAATAGAGATTTTATACAATATGAAAACATCCTGAGTTACTTCATTATTTATTGAAAAATTCGAGTTTTATTTTATTAGTTTTATAAAACTAATATCAATATAGCTGTATGTTAATTACCAATTGTAATTAAGAAGCAGTAAAATGCTTGTCTTCCTACACAAAGGTTAGGTCGTGGTTTTCTATACAGCTTTTCAGGTAAACTAATATTCACAATATTTTGGTGTGATTCTGACGATTAAGTGTATTTAAGTACCAAGCCGGTAGTCAGGATTGTACTTATTACATTTAGTATTAAAACGTACTGTCTATTCGGGTGAGGGGCTGCACGAAAGTGATGTACTGTCCCATTTTCTGTTTGAGTCCTCCGACTTAATCGGTTAGGTTAGGAGAGGAAACTTTCAATTAACGTTTTCCATGACGTTTTGAAACATTATAATTTCCTGCCCTTCTAACCTACCAGAGAACCCGTAACTTACTGTTTTGGAACAAAAATTCAAAATTTACTTTCAATTTGTTTTCATTTTCAAATTACGTCTATTTTCGGCCATACCGGAAAACGGCCAAATTCAGACGTAATTTGCCAGAGGACAGGTTGCAACGGCACTTTAGTACGACAGTTTTTTGACGTTGGGAAAACTTAGAAGGACTGGCTGTAGCATGAGCTATATGAAAGGAAAGCTCTCAGCCTGGCAATATCGCACTAATCAATGAAAATAACACCACTCAAATCAACAACCCTATTACCGAACCAGTATTTACCCAGGTCTTTCCTAAATCTAAATAAGACAACACCAGGAGTCCTATCACCAACGCCCCGACTAACAAATCCCAGCGTCCCACTTGCCCCACCACGATCATTTACGCATTGATTTTTTTTGGTCCCAAACTCTCACTAATCAACTCCCAGATCCCCTTCGCAATCTCAACACCATCCAGTTCGCACCCCGCAACTCCATTACCCAGCCTCAGTCAGCACCAAACTGCATCTGCCAATCCTTTGACCACCCTAAAACCCTACCTAGAACGTCTCGAGTTGAAGCGAGTCCCCTTCCGTGTCCATCCCCCTACCAATTTTTTTGATTGGCAAATTTGCTGCTCAAACCTGAATCATTCCATTCACCTGGGTCTCGAACCGTGGACCCCACGCGCAGCCCGTCCTCCAAAGAAAGACCCAAAGGTGATTCCATCCACCCGCCAAACCCCCTGGTGTTTATGAATGAAAAACAGGTTTACACATTACTCAACTGTTGACGTTCGAACACTTCCGGAACAAATGCTTCGCTGTCAAATTTTGTTCGAACCACAACGCTGTAAATGCTTCACCTGCGTACTACAAATACAAATAATCGCCAACAGGACCTAAACACCTAACCTAATGTATGCCCATATATACACAATATGCTATTATAATAATTTATTTGAGAAAATTCATGTTTTGAATGAACAGCATGTTATAATTTATGAATGCGTCTGTGGGGTCGACCGCTGGATGTAATGGACTTGAGTTGAGGACGGGTTGACGCGTGTGAGGCCGTAGCACTAACAACTAGGCTACGACCAGTCTTAAATAGGAAAGTTTTCAGAAGCAGCATCCTGTTAATAACATCATTATGAAAACATGAAGAAATGTAGAGGGTATCCCGACCCGGGATCGGAGCACACTTTACATTTCATGCTTTCAAAATAGTGGGTTATTATTATATAAATAAATACATAAATTTCCTGAATTATATTGTCTTACAGATGATACTGAGGAGGTATGTGTACCATGCCAGGACAGTGTCTGGCCATACACTAGTCCTAGTACAGAAAGGGGGAACTGCCCGCCGGCTAGAAGAGAGCATCGCACACAATAATTATCTTGTACTCACACTTATCAACGTGTCGACGTCCAGACAGGGAGATGACGCCAATTACATTATCTTATCCATAACACCTTCCGTTGCAATATCCATAGCATCTGCTATTGCACTATCCATAACACGTGTTGCAGTATCCACAGTACGTCCCGCTGCAATATCCATAACCATTTACCGACAATACAGTCACCTTCTATTTCATGTCACTTAAAATATATATAATTCACTGCAACCTTAGTTTCCGCAAGGAAGTTTGCAACAACGGTGCGTGGCCACACTAGGCGCGCGGGAGAGTGCTGGAGGGAGCGGAGCCGTGCACGTGCGTCCCCGCCACTGTCTGAGAGCCAACTGCCAGCACCAGGCCGCCCCCTCGCCTCACATGACCGTAATTATGGTAACTAGTTGCTCCACACAACCAACATGTAGCCACCAACCACCACCTACCACCACCAACCACCACCAGTCACTCACCACAATACTACGCTCTTTCTACTATTCATTTTAGAGTTCGGAAAAAAATAAAGCTAACAAAATCAAAGTTAAATATTCCTGGGCCATGTATAGTGCTATATTAGTACTAAAGAACCATATTAGGCCTAAGATTGCAATGAAAGGTTAGGTCTTATTTTATGTTGCTGTTAAAAATGTTTTTAGTTTATCCAAATTCATTAATATAAAAGTCAACTTCCTGGTGGTCCACCACTACATATGGGTACCTCCTGGTGGTCCATCACTACATATGGGTACCTCCTGGTGGTCCATCACTACATATGGGTACCTCCTGGTGGTCCATCACTACATATGGGTACCTCCTGGTGGTCCATCACTACATATGGGTACCTCCTGGTGGTCCATCACTACATATGGGTACCTCCTGGTGGTCCATCACTACATATGGGTACCTCCTGGTGGTCCATCACTACATATGGGTACAGTACCTCCTGGTGGTCCACCACTACATATGGGTACAGTACCTCCTGGTGGTCCACCACTACATATGGGTACCTCCTGGTGGTTCATCACTACATATGGGTACAGTACCTCCTGGTGGTTCATCACTACATATGGGTACAGTACCTCCTGGTGGTTCATCACTACATATGGGTACAGTACCTCCTGGTGGTTCATCACTACATATGGGTACAGTACCTCCTGGTGGTCCATCACTACATATGGGTACCTCCTGGTGGTCCATCACTACATATGGGTACCTCCTGGTGGTCCATCACTACATATGGGTACCTCCTGGTGGTCCATCACTACATATGGGTACCTCCTGGTGGTCCATCACTACATATGGGTACCTCCTGGTGGTTCATCACTACATATGGGTACAGTACCTCCTGGTGGTCCATCACTACATATGGGTACCTCCTGGTGGTCCATCACTACATATGGGTACCTCCTGGTGGTCCATCATTACATACGAGTACCTCCTGGTGGTCCATCATTACATATGAGTACCTCCTGGTGGTCCATCATTACATACGAGTACCTCCTGGTGGTCCATCACTACATATGGGTACCTCCTGGTGGTCCATCACTACATATGAGTACGTCCTGGTGGTCCATCACTACATATGGGTACCTCCTGGTGGTCCATCACTACATACGAGTACCTCCTGGTGGTCCATCACTACATATGGGTACCTCCTGGTGGTCCATCATTACATACGAGTACCTCCTGGTGGTCCATCACTACATATGGGTACCTCCTGGTGGTCCATCATTACATATGGGTACAGTACCTCCTGGTGGTCCATCACTACATATGGGTACCTCCTGGTGGTCCATCACTACATATGGGTACCTCCTGGTGGTCCATCACTACATATGAGTACCTCCTGGTGGTCCATCACTACATATGGGTACCTCCTGGTGGTCCATCACTACATACGAGTACCTCCTGGTGGTCCATCACTACATATGGGTACCTCCTGGTGGTCCATCACTACATACGAGTACCTCCTGGTGGTCCATCACTACATATGAGTACCTCCTGGTGGTCCATCACTACATATGGGTACCTCCTGGTGGTCCATCACTACATACGAGTACCTCCTGGTGGTCCATCACTACATATGGGTACCTCCTGGTGGTCCATCACTACATATGGGTACAGTACCTCCTGGTGGTCCATCATTACATACGAGTACCTCCTGGTGGTCCATCACTACATACGAGTACCTCCTGGTGGTCCATCACTACATACGAGTACCTCCTGGTGGTCCATCACTACATACGAGTACCTCCTGGTGGTCCATCACTACATATGGGTACCTCCTGGTGGTCCATCACTACATATGGGTACAGTACCTCCTGGTGGTCCATCACTACATATGGGTACCTCCTGGTGGTCCATCACTACATATGAGTACGTCCTGGTGGTCCATCACTACATATGGGTACCTCCTGGTGGTCCATCACTACATATGGGTACCTCCTGGTGGTCCATCACTACATACGAGTACCTCCTGGTGGTCCATCACTACATATGGGTACCTCCTGGTGGTCCATCACTACATATGGGTACCTCCTGGTGGTCCATCACTACATATGGGTACAGTACCTCCTGGTGGTCCATCATTACATATGAGTACCTCCTGGTGGTCCATCATTACATATGAGTACCTCCTGGTGGTCCATCACTACATATGAGTACGTCCTGGTGGTCCATCACTACATATGGGTACCTCCTGGTGGTCCATCACTACATATGGGTACCTCCTGGTGGTCCATCACTACATATGGGTACCTCCTGGTGGTCCATCACTACATATGGGTACAGTACCTCCTGGTGGTCCATCACTACATATGAGTACCTCCTGGTGGTCCATCACTACATATGGGTACCTCCTGGTGGTCCATCACTACATATGGGTACAGTACCTCCTGGTGGTCCATCACTACATATGAGTACCTCCTGGTGGTCCATCACTACATATGAGTACGTCCTGGTGGTCCATCACTACATATGGGTACCTCCTGGTGGTCCATCACTACATATGGGTACCTCCTGGTGGTCCATCACTACATATGGGTACCTCCTGGTGGTCCATCACTACATATGGGTACAGTACCTCCTGGTGGTCCATCACTACATATGAGTACGTCCTGGTGGTCCATCACTACATATGGGTACCTCCTGGTGGTCCATCATTACATATGAGTACCTCCTGGTGGTCCATCACTACATATGGGTACCTCCTGGTGGTCCATCACTACATATGAGTACGTCCTGGTGGTCCATCACTACATATGGGTACCTCCTGGTGGTCCATCACTACATATGGGTACCTCCTGGTGGTCCATCACTACATATGGGTACCTCCTGGTGGTCCATCACTACATATGGGTACAGTACCTCCTGGTGGTCCATCACTACATATGAGTACGTCCTGGTGGTCCATCACTACATATGGGTACCTCCTGGTGGTCCATCACTACATATGGGTACCTCCTGGTGGTCCATCACTACATACGAGTACCTCCTGGTGGTCCATCACTACATATGGGTACCTCCTGGTGGTCCATCATTACATATGAGTACCTCCTGGTGGTCCATCATTACATATGAGTACCTCCTGGTGGTCCATCACTACATATGGGTACCTCCTGGTGGTCCATCACTACATATGGGTACAGTACCTCCTGGTGGTCCATCACTACATATGAGTACCTCCTGGTGGTCCATCACTACATATGGGTACCTCCTGGTGGTCCATCATTACATATGAGTACCTCCTGGTGGTCCATCACTACATATGGGTACCTCCTGGTGGTCCATCACTACATACGAGTACCTCCTGGTGGTCCATCACTACATATGGGTACCTCCTGGTGGTCCATCACTACATATGGGTACCTCCTGGTGGTCCATCACTACATATGGGTACCTCCTGGTGGTCCATCACTACATATGGGTACCTCCTGGTGGTCCATCACTACATATGAGTACGTCCTGGTGGTCCATCACTACATATGAGTACATACCACCAAATAGGTGGTATTAGACATTCTTAATATAAGATCTTTCATTGTAAGAGGGCGGGGTGCCAGGAGGACACGGAGGAGTGGAGTACAGCGGTGGTGAAGGGCACTTGCTCACCACCACCACCAGTGCCTGGAGCAGGCCTCCGCTTGGCTCCTACGCATCATAACACTGCGTTGTATAGTATAGGCTGGTGTCACTTGTTAGGTCTCTGTGGTCTTGTACAGTGTACACTGCTCTCTTAATGACCAATCCTGAACTGTAGCCTCTCTTCACCCAACAGTAAAATGGGTACCTGGTGGTTACAGGATTTGGCGGGTCGTATTCCGGGGGATATTAGGATGAAGGACCTCCTGAAATGCTACGCGTGCTGCTGGCTGTACATGAATGTAACAACTCTTGCGTATATCAATAAATAAATAAATAAAAATAAGGGTGTGGGGTCTTACTGGGGAGGGTGTGGGGGTCTTCCTGGGGAGGGTGTGGGGGGTCTTCCTGGGGGAGGGTGTGGGGTGTCTTACTGGGGAGGGTGTGGGGGTCTTCCTGGGGAGGGTGTGGGGGTCTTACTGGGGAGGGTGTGGGGGGTCTTCCTGGGGGAGGGTGTGGGGGGTCTTCCTGGGGGAGGGTGTGGGGGGGTCTTCCTGGGGGAGGGTGTGGGGGTCTTCCTGGGGGAGGGTGTGGGGGGTCTTACTGGGGAGGGTGTGGGGGTCTTTCTGGGGGAGGGTGTGGGGGGTCTTACTGGGGAGGGTGTGGGGGTCTTCCTGGGGAGGGTGTGGGGGTCTTACTGGGGAGGGTGTGGGGGTCTTTCTGGGGGAGGGTGTGGGGGGTCTTCCTGGGGAGGGTGTGGGGGTCTTTCTGGGGAGGGTGTGGGGGGTCTTACTGGGGAGGGTGTGGGGGGTCTTTCTGGGGAGGGTGTGGGGGGTCTTACTGGGGAGGGTGTGGGGGTCTTCCTGGGGAGGGTGTGGGGGTCTTTCTGGGGAGGGTGTGGGGGTCTTCCTGGGGGAGGGTGTGGGGGTCTTCCTGGGGGAGGGTGTGGGGGTCTTCCTGGGGGAGGGTGTGGGGGGTCTTCCTGGGGAGGGTGTGGGGGTCTTCCTGGGGAGGGTGTGGGGGTCTTTCTGGGGAGGGTGTGGGGGTCTTCCTGGGGAGGGTGTGGGGGTCTTTCTGGGGAGGGTGTGGGGGTCTTACTGGGGGAGGGTGTGGGGGTCTTTCTGGGGGAGGGTGTGGGGGTCTTCCTGGGGAGGGTGTGGGGGGTCTTCCTGGGGGAGGGTGTGGGGGTCTTTCTGGGGAGGGTGTGGGGGTCTTACTGGGGGAGGGTGTGGGGGTCTTTCTGGGGGAGGGTGTGGGGGGTCTTCCTGGGGGAGGGTGTGGGGGGTCTTCCTGGGGGAGGGTGTGGGGGTCTTCCTGGGGGAGGGTGTGGGGGTCTTTCTGGGGGAGGGTGTGGGGGGTCTTCCTGGGGGAGGGTGTGAGGGGTCTTCCTGGGGGAGGGTGTGGGGGGTCTTCCTGGGGAGGGTGTGGGGGTCTTCCTGGGGAGGGTGTGGGGGGTCTTCCTGGGGAGGGTGTGGGGGTCTTTCTGGGGAGGGTGTGGGGGTCTTCCTGGGGGAGGGTGTGGGGGTCTTCCTGGGGGAGGGTGTGGGGGTCTTTCTGGGGGAGGGTGTGGGGGGTCTTCCTGGGGGAGGGTGTGGGGGGTCTTCCTGGGGGAGGGTGTGGGGGGTCTTCCTGGGGGAGGGTGTGGGGGGTCTTCCTGGGGGAGGGTGTGGGGGTCTTCCTGGGGGAGGGTGTGGGGGGTCTTCCTGGGGGAGGGTGTGGGGGGTCTTCCTGGGGGAGGGTGTGGGGGGGTCTTCCTGGGGGAGGGTGTGGGGGGTCTTCCTGGGGGAGGGTGTGGGGGGTCTTCCTGGGGGAGGGTGTGGGGGGGTCTTCCTGGGGGAGGGTGTGGGGGGGTCTTCCTGGGGGAGGGTGTGGGGGGGGGTGCCGGGACGCTCCACCACCGCCATGACGTCATATCAGGAAAGGCTAGAATGAATGAGAAGAAAGTTGGCCAGTCACCAATTACCACCCAGTCACCAGTTACCACCCTGTCACCAATTACCACCCAGTCATCAGTCACCACCCAGTCATCAGTCACCACCCAATCACCAGTCACCACCCTGTCACCAGTCACCACCCAGTCACCAGTCACTACCCTGTCACCAGTCAAAAGTTACCACCCTGTCACCAGTCACCACCCAGTCACTAGTCACCAGCCAGTCACCAGTCACCACCCAGTTACCACTGTCAGTAGCTTGTCATCACCCCAGCCACTACCGTCCCTACCATGTTACTACTGGCACCACCCATCACCCGTCACCACCACCATGTCATCAATGTCACCACCATACTTGTCGTATACCCTATTTGATTCTGAGGAGTTACATCTTAGCCGTCCAGTCTCTGAGGTCTCCTGGTCAACCAGGCTGTTCAGTGTGGCTAATCGCAACCTAACATATGAGTCACAATCTGGTTAATCAGGTATCCTTTGAAGGTGTTGATCAAATTTTCTTTCGAACACTGCGAGGTCTGCCAGTTACGCCCCATATGTGTAGAGGGTGCGTGTGTTGAAAAGTCTTGGACCTTTGATGTTGGTCGATTTCTCTCTCAGCGTGCCTATTGCGCCTCCGCTTTTAACCAGAGGTATTTTGCACATCCTGCCATGCCTTCTGATTTGCACATCCTGCCATGCCTTCTGATTTGCACATCCTGCCATGCCTTCTGATTTGCACCATCACCACCATGCCTGGTGATGATGGTTGTGGTATTTCTGTGTGCAAATTTGGAACCAGTCCTTCTAACATTTTCCAAGTGTAAATTATTATGCATCTCTCCTGCCTGCATTCTAGGGGATACAGGTTTAACATTTTTAAGGGGTCCCAATAATTTAGATGTTTAATTCAGTAGATTCTATTACAGTAGTAAAGGATCACTGCACACTATCCAGGTCAGCAATTTCTCTAGCTTTGATAGTGGCTGTTATTGTACAACAATATTCCACTCTTGAGAGCACCTAGTGTCTTAAAAAGTATTATTAATGTGCCATTTCTTGTAATTTTTCTTCCAGTTGTGGCAGCTACTTTGTTGTATTCTTTGAAAGTAAAGTCCTCCAACATGATTACTCCTAAATCTTATACAGTACATTGCTTTTTTTTCAATAGTGTGGTTTAACTGCATTTTGTGTGTGGTTCCTGTTTTGATATTTTCCTTTTTTCCATAGTGGAGTACCTTGAACTTATCCTCATAAACTTTAGACTTTCTGTGGCCCATTGAAAGATTTGATTAATTTAACATCTGATTGGAAGTTTTATATATTATAACTCTATATTGTCTTCTCCATGAAAATTCTAATGTCATTTGCAAAGGATGAAACAATACTATAGTTTGTATCCTTGTCTATGTCTGATATGAGGATGAGAAAATGTACCGGAGCAAGTACCAGGTACCTTGGGAGACTAAGTATTTCACGGTGGATGATCTGGATTTTACTGTGTTGACCTATACACTCTGCATTCTGTTCATTAGGAAGTTGAAGATCCCTCTCCCTACTTTGCCAGAAAAGTAAGTTCTTTTGTGTCCAATAACACCATGGTTACATTTGTGTAAAACTTGTGCAAAATCTGTGTATACTGTATTACATCAGCATTTTGTTTGTCTTCCATGGCATCTAAAGCCATGTCAGTGGTCTAGCAACTGTGAGAGGCAGGAGTGCCCCTGTTTTGAACCCATGTTGCCCCAGGCTTATGTAGATACTGTGATTCCATGTGTTTTGTGATCTTACTTCTTAGCACTTTCAAAGATTGTTATGATGTGTGATGTTAGAGCAGTTTATAATTTTTGGCATCTACTTTAATACCTTTGTGAAGTGACATGCTCTCCATTGTTTTAATTATATCATGGATAACACTAGTATCTAAGCTTAACCCACTCGGCCTGGTGCAGCCGAGTGGGTTAAGGCAGGTGTCTGGGAACCACCAGAACACAGGTTCAAGTCACCCTGTTGCTTCAAAATTTTCTCATTATAAAATAGGTGGATGGGTGAATGTCTTCAAGAATCATTTAGACAAGTTCGTGCAAGAAATTCCAGACCAACCGAGTTGTAGTGGATATGTGGGGGCTGCTGTCCACTCCAAGCAACAGCCTGATGAACCAAGCTCTCACAAAAGTTGAGCTTGGCTCCAGGCAGGGCTTGGAGTGGAAGATCTCATGGTACCCTCTCCAGATATAACCTGGTATAACATATATAGTGTGTGTGTGTGTATAATTACCCAAGTGTAGTTACAGGATGAAAACTACGCTCGCGGTGTCCGGTCTTCCCAGTACTCTGTGCCATATAACACTTTGAAACTATTGACGGTTTTGGCCTCCAACACCTCCACTTAGCTTCTTCCAACCTTCTACCTCTCTGTTTGCAAAAGAAAACTTTCTAATGTTTTTTTGGCACCTTTGTGTCCTTAGCTTGAATCTGTGTGCCTTCTTGTTCATGATGTTGCTAGTTTAAGAAATTCCTCTTTGTCAATATGGTTGTAAGTGGTGATCATATCACCTCTATTTCTTCTATTTTCTAGTTTTGGCATGTTTAATGCCTGTAGTCTCTCCTCGTAACTTTTGTTTTTCAGTTCCGTAAGCCATTTTGTAGCATGCCGCTGCACCTTTTCCAGTTTCTTTATGTGCTTCTTGAGATTTGGGCACCATACACCTGCATATTCCAGTTTTGGTCTCACGAAAGTCATGAACAGTTTCTTTAGTAATTTCACCATCCATATAATTAAAGCAAGTCTGAAGTTGGAAAGTGATGCATACACTCCTCTCACAATGTTCTCTATGTGTTCCTCTGGCAACAGCTTTCTATCCAAAACCACCTCAGGTCTTGTTCTTTATTAGAGTTCTGTGATTCCTTTCCACAAAATTTGTAAGTTGTGTGTGGTCTATTTTCTCTGAATCTACATTCCATAACACGGCATTTATTCACATTGAATTCCATTTGTCACTTTACGCTCCAAGCACTTATTTTATCTAAATCAATTTAAAGGGCATTACAGTCGTCTGCACCTCCTATCTTCCCCAGTATCCTAGCATCATCCACATACATGTTCAAATAATTCTGTATTCCTTCAGGTTGATTGTTTATGTAGATGATGAACATTACTGGTGCAAGAACTGTACCCTGTGTTACTCTGCTAGTAACACTCCTCCAGTCAGATATGTTGTTTCTGATTACTGCCCCCATCTGTCTGTAGTTAGAAAGTTTTTCATTCATGTCGCAAGTTTCTGTCACTCCTCCAGCATGTTCCAGTTTTAAGAACAGCCTCTTATGTTGAGAACAGCCCTCTGTCAAAAGCCTTTTTTTTTAGGTCCAGATAAACACAATCAACCCAACCCCCTCTTTTCTGTATTATCTCTGTGGCTCTATCATAAAAACTAAGATTTATTACACAGGATCTTCCTGTTCGAAAACCATACTGTTTGTCCGTTATTATGTGATTACTCTCTAAGTGTTTAACCCATTTGGCTCTAACTATTGTTTCTAGTGTTTTGACTTCCACACTTGTTAATGATAGAGGTTCCTCTCGACTACCATTTTTGTAGATTGGTACTATGTTTGCCTTTTCTATGTATCTGCTAAGATTCCTGTGCAAAAGGATGTCTGAAATATTAATTGGAGTGGAATGCTCAGCTCAGTTGCACATTCTCGCAGCACTCAAGGTGAAACTCCATCAGGTCCAACTGCTTTATTTCTTCTTAATAGCCCCTTGAGTAATTTTTCCACTTCGTCTTGAGGTACCTTTATGTACTCTATGGCTTGCTCTGGAAATGGTATTGGTCCGTTTCTATGAAATCCTCATTTTGTACATATACAATTTTGAAGTGTTCATGTAGCATTTCACACACGTCTTTTTCATTCTTAGTAGTCCTGTTCCCCGTTCTCAATCTCTGGATTTAATCCTTTACATGCAGCATGCTTTTAATGAATTTATAGAAAAGGCCAGAATCAGTTTTACAGTTGCATGCTATACCTTTCTCAAAGTGTCTTTCTGCCTCTCTCCTCACTGTTGTTGTTTCTTGCTTGCTTGTAGTGCTGGTATGTTTGTGGGTTAGGCCTCTTCCTATACTGAATTCCCTAACTCATTTTGTGTGTGAGTGTGTGGGAAATGAAGCTTTTCCACACATCTTCAGAAGGAATTACAGGACTCCCGGAATATACAACAAGAGAGACATATACACGGGATCAAGAGAGTGACAGTTGAGATGAAGGATGAAAAATTATCATTATTAGAAAACTCTTTATTATGCCTCACTGAAGTATTTACATTAATGACTCTTAGGCTAAAACATGGGATTGAAGCATAAATTCTAATAATAATAATAATAATAATAATAATAATAATAATAATAATAATAATGAAATAATAATAATAATAATAATAATGTAATAATAATAATAATAATAATAATAATAATAATAATAATAATAAAAATAATAATTATGAGAAAACCTGTGAGCGCCACGAGGATGACTTGAACCCGTACACTGGAAGCCCCCAAGAGCCCACCTTAAACCACTGGACTATGATATGCAATGTAAAGTCATGTAACTTGGGATTTAACTAAGTCTTCTAGGGAGAGTTCTGAGGCAGCAACTGATACCAGATCAGGGCTTCACACATTACCCGCATATACACTCCAGTGTGGTCCAGGAGTTCTACCACCAACGTTTCTCTTCAAAGCACAAAGAAACCATGTTAACTTGTTGTATCAATGACAAAATCTGGACCTGATTTTCTTATTGATACAACACATTAATATAATTTCATTGTACAACAACAACAATAATAATAATAATCTATACTACAGTATAAGAGAGAAGTGTGTGTCTGTATGTTCAAAGTTGGAAGCCAGATGCTTGGGGCGAGCCTTAACTAAATTTGTAAGGGAAATGGTTTGAGGTACGAGACAGACAATGGCTGGTCGAGATAGGCCTTAGTTTTATGAAATATTATTAATGTGTTATATTATTAAAATAATATATCCCACACCCCACCCAATTCTCACAGATTCAGTTGTAGTCAAGTGTGAAATTTTGGTGGAGATGCCCGAAGAGTTTTTCATCAGAAAAAATAATTTTCTTAAACACAAAGTTGTTTCATTGCTCCCTAATATTATATGTTATTGAAGTGAAGAGTGGCTCAACAGGGGAAGTGGTTTGGGAGGATGGGGGGAGGATGAGAGGAAAAGTGGGAGGAAGGGGAGAGGGGTTGATGTGGGAGGAAGGACGAGGGTAAGGGTAGGAAGGAAAGGGGGAGAAGATGAGGGGGGAGAGTCGGGTCAGGGTAAGGGGAGGGAGAGTTAAGAGGACAAGGGGGGATGGGGAGGGCACCTGGGCACTGCTGGGTACCCCTCCTAGTACTGTAATAATATAAATCTTACAGCACAACTCTGCACTATTTACTTGAATTTCTTTTATTATTTTTTATGTTGCTGCTGAAGATATACCATATTGATACCTCTCTGTAGATATCATGCAGTGTGTGATGTTCAGGAATACACACAAATGTAATACTGTATTGTACAGTATTGTATTTCTCTGAAAGATCATCATTTACTTCCACTATGCACATCACAGACGATTAATTTTTTTATTCGTCAGCAGGAACAATGTTTTGCCCATCGTGGAAATGGTATAGTGTCTTTAATGTTACCAATGCCAAGTATGAACTGAAGAAATCTCTCAAAGCCTATGCCAAACCCACCAGTAGGAGTGCTTCCACCTAGTCTCCGTAAGTCTAGGTACCATTCAAGCTTGTCCAAGAGGTGTAGTTGCTGAAGTCTTTGGTGAAGTCGAGAGGGACAATGTTCCCTTAGTCCTCCTCCTGCAACCTCTCCAATATCTGGTAACAACAGATCAACAGCCATCACCTATAAACAAAAAGTAAAAATTAAAAGATTTGAAATGCCCGAGTCATTTCAGCAAATGAGCTCAAATATTTATGAATAAGGAGATGCACAAAAAATGGATGCTGCTTTATTACATTTAACTTGTAAAATTGTTTAGAAGTCAACACATCAGACGTCTAAAAAAATGTCAGAATTATTATGTCAGTAGATTACTACCTATGGATATAGACTAACACAGGCAGTACAATTATATTGTGACTGCCATTGTACAGCTGTTATGGATGTCACAACAAAAGAACAGCCGTCTGAGTATGTGTTATACAGGACTATGGCAGGCGAGGAGGAGTTAAGAGATAGTTGGTGGTAGCTACGGAAGGTGTGAGGCTGCATCTCGCCAAGGGATCACCTGGAGGCAAGACGGTCAGGTCAAGACCCACTACGTGTGAGGTCACAAGTCAAGTATGCACCCTTCTATAGCTTCCAGAAGCTCCTGTCTCTTCTCTAACTTATCATAGATGTCTTGTCAGTGGCCAGTTCTGAGAACTGATGCCTCATTGGTCCCAGCATCAATGCTCAGCCTACACAAAGGGTTTTGGACAGCTCACCCGTGTTGGTGTGGCTGTTCCTCATTCTGTACTAAGAGTTTACCTAGTTCAGATGCCAGATCTTGATGTAGCCTCAAGATACTGTATAGTTAAATTCTCTAGACTCCAGCAAAATTCTCTAACACCAATTGTGTGTATCCGGCAGATGTTCTGCAGAATCCCCAAGTCATTTAACTCGCTACAGTGACTATACTGTATAGAGGAAGTTTTAGAAGTGATAGTCACTAGTGTACTGCCCCAAGTGAACTAAGTCATAGCAGGAGTAACAATTCTTTGTAGTTAATTTTACTAGCTTTTAGTAAGAAAGATATCTAGCAGCAAAATTAGTTATATTGGAAAAGGAAAGAAGATAAAGATAAGAGAAAATAAAGATGCTAACTACTGTTGTTAAGAGAGTGGTAATGAACTTGAGAGACTCTACTGTAACGTGCTAGATGATGAACTGTAGCATTGGTACTTCTACTGTTTCTTGTATATGAAGACAAAATATATATAATTTTATTTAATGAAACACCCTTTTCTTGTGGACCTCAGTAGCTCCCTGAAACAAACATTGATGAACACAGTAATTGTCATGTGGGCAGCCATCACTGTGACCCGAGGCTCCAGACAGTCTGCCCACTCACCCAGTCACAACACAGGAAGCCTCAAACCTCTGACAGAACCCATCCTCTACTTCACACTTTCAGTTAAATTGTGTTAGTTTTCCCTGGAACATTAATTCTGCCAGCTCCATTGCTTTCTTTTTCTTTTTGTTTTCTTTCACTATAATATTTTTATGCCACCAACATTGTGGGTGCCCTAGCTTCTTATTTAACTCCAATTGCAGGCCAGGGATACTTTCCTTTTTAGTTGGCTTGCAATTCCCTCGTCCCACCAGAGATACCTGCTCTAAGGAATACGAGTTCCTCCTCTCTGAGGATCTTCATCCTCTCTAGGAAGAGAACTGATAGCTCCCCAACTTCAGAGCTACTGGGGCACTATCAGAAAGATCCATTTCATTACATTCAATGCTGGGTTTCCCTTTACATTTTCAATTATTTCTACCTGGCTGATGCATTCTAATTAAATGAAAGTAGAAAATGTGGTAATAATAATGTGTAGGGAACCCCTCCCCTCCTATCACTCCCAGATATTATACTCACATAGGAAGGACACCATTTAACTCTGTTGGCTTGCTCATTAGCTACACCCACACTGCACTACAATTTCAATCTTTGTAAATTAAAAAAGTGTCCAGAAGGAACTGCTAGACAAAACACAGCCTTAACTAGCAGCTACACACAAATATTTTATCTATAAAATATTATGGTTTAAAATATTTGACTAAATACTAACAAACATCTCATTTAAACTTTTCATAATAAATTCTGCTGTACGAGGGAGTTCTGTAGAGTGCATCATATATCCCATTGTTATGAATTATTGAATAAACATTACATTTATCCTTTCAGGACAGTACTTCAAGGCTTACCAATTGTGGATCATTTTCATCAGCACACATATAGAAAGGTTTAATTTCTCGTGGCCAGTGTGTCACAAATACTGGAATGTTTCCCAAGTGTTTTGTTAAAAAGAGTTCGTGCTCCTTGCCGAGGTCACCCCTGGGTAGTGGTTGCGTCTGAAAGAAGTGGCTTTTATCTTGAAGGAGCTTCATGGCTTCATCATATGGAAGGCGTACAAATGGCTGACACAAAGCTCCTTTAACCAGTTCCTGTAAAAATATACTTCTAATATAATAACTTGTGCTGTGTATGAGTAATAATAATACAGTTATGTCAATGAGTAATAGATTTCATTCATGTCAACTTGAAAAGAATATCATAATCATCAATAATAATAATGATTCTCACAAACATCCTCACCACCACCACCACCACCACCATCTCCACCTTATTTATCACTCCCTGGGTAAGTCACCCCTCCCCCCCTTCACCCCAGTCTTCACTCTGGGGATGGAAAGTCATCAACTAGAAATGTGAAACAGTATACAGTGCAGTTTTTATAATCAGAACAGTTTAGACCAAAGCAACTTTCAGATCAGAAAGTTTTGTGGTCTATTGATACCTCTTCCCCAACACAATACTTTACTGTATTTCAAGCCTATCCAACTACAGTATGTTAGTTAATCCATCGAATATATATTCTGACAATATTGAAGAAGATTTATGCTTTCAATTACATTATATAAATGTACAAACATTTGAAAATAATGTGGAGAAAGCTTAGCAGTACAGAGTACGGGAAGAGACGAGAGACATCTGGGTCAATAGGGGGCAGGAGCAAAACATGTGCCAGTCACTGTAATACCAACTATTTTAGCCTTTCTGATTAGTAATGGTGTCAACCTTAGGCATGGAGCAAGCATAGGGCAAAGAATGTAAAGAATGATGTCTGGGTTAGCAATGGTCTGGTAGAGGACAGGAAGGGGTCCGGCAGAGAACAGGAAGGGGTCCCGCTGAGGACAGGAAGGGGTCCGGCAGAGGACAGGAAGGGGTCCGGCAGAGAACAGGAAGGGGTCCCGCTGAGGACAGGAAGGGGTCCGGCAGAGGACAGGAAGGGGTCCGGCAGAGAACAGGAAGGGGTCCCGCTGAGGACAGGAAGGGGTCCGGCAGAGGACAGGAAGGGGTCCGGCAGAGAACAGGAAGGGGTCCCGCTGAGGACAGGAACGGGTCCGGCAGAGGACAGGAAGGGGTCCGGCAGAGGACAGGAAGGGGTCCGGCAGAGGACAGGAAGGGGTCCGGCAGAGGACAGGAAGGGGTCCGGCAGAGGACAGGAAGAGGTCCAGCAGAGGACAGGAAGAGGTCCAGCAGAGGACAGGAAGAGGTCCAGCAGAGGACAGGAAGGGGTCCGGCAGAGGACAGGAAGGGGTCCTGCTGAAGACAGGAAGGGGTCTGGCAGAGGACAGGAAGGGGTCCGGCAGAGGACAGGAAGGGGTCCGGCAGAGGACAGGAAGGGGTCCGGCAGAGGACAGGAAGGGGTCTGGCAGAGGACAGGAAGGGGTCTGGCAGAGGACAGGAAGGGGTCTGGCAGAGGACAGGAAGGGGTCCGGCAGAGGACAGGAAGGGGTCCGGCAGAGGACAGGAAGGGGTCTGGCAGAGGACAGGAAGGGGTCCGGCAGAGGACAGGAAGGGGTCCTGCTGAAGACAGGAAGGGGTCTGGCAGAGGACAGGAAGGGGTCCGGCAGAGGACAGGAAGGGGTCCTGCTGAAGACAGGAAGGGGTCTGGCAGAGGACAGGAAGGGGTCCGGCAGAGGACAGGAAGGGGTCCGGCAGAGGACAGGAAGGGGTCCGGCAGAGGACAGGAAGAGGTCCGGCAGAGGACAGGAAGGGGTCCGGCAGAGGACAGGAAGGGGTCCTGCTGAAGACAGGAAGGGGTCCGGCAGAGGACAGGAAGGGGTCCGGCAGAGGACAGGAAGGGGTCCGGCAGAGGACAGGAAGGGGTCCAGCAGAGGACAGGAAGGGGTCCGGCAGAGGACAGGGGGTCCGGCAGAGGACAGGAAGGGGTCCAGAGGCAGAGGACAGGAAGGGGGTCCGGCAGAGGACAGGAAGGGGTCCGGCAGAGGACAGGAAGGGGTCCAGCAGAGGACAGGAAGGGGTCCGGCAGAGGACAGGAAGGGGTCCGGCAGAGGACAGGAAGGGGTCCGGCAGAGGACAGGAAGGGGTCCGGCAGAGGACAGGAAGGGGTCCGGCAGAGGACAGGAAGGGGTCCTGCTGAAGACAGGAAGGGGTCTGGCAGAGGACAGGAAGGGGTCCGGCAGAGGACAGGAAGGGGTCCGGCAGAGGACAGGAAGGGGTCTGGCAGAGGACAGGAAGAGGTCCAGCAGAGGACAGGAAGGGGTCCGGCAGAGGACAGGAAGGGGTCCTGCTGAAGACAGGAAGGGGTCTGGCAGAGGACAGGAAGGGGTCCGGCAGAGGACAGGAAGGGGTCCGGCAGAGGACAGGAAGGGGTCCGGCAGAGGACAGGGAGGGGTCCAGCAGAGGACAGGAAGGGGTCTGGCAGAGGACAGGAAGGGGTCCGGCAGAGGACAGGAAGGGGTCCTGCTGAAGACAGGAAGGGGTCTGGCAGAGGACAGGAAGGGGTCCGGCAGAGGACAGGAAGGGGTCCGGCAGAGGACAGGAAGGGGTCCAGCAGAGGACAGGAAGGGGTCTGGCAGAGGACAGGAAGGGGTCCGGCAGAGGACAGGAAGGGGTCCGGCAGAGGACAGGAAGGGGTCCAGCAGAGGACAGGAAGGGGTCCGGCAGAGGACAGGAAGGGGTCCGGCAGAGGACAGGAAGGGGTCCGGCAGAGGACAGGAAGGGGTCCGGCAGAGGACAGGAAGGGGTCCGGCAGAGGACAGGAAGGGGTCCAGCAGAGGACAGGAAGGGGTCCAGCAGAGGACAGGAAGGGGTCCGGCAGAGGACAGGAAGGGGTCCGGCAGAGGACAGGAAGGGGTCCGGCAGAGGACAGGAAGGGGTCCGGCAGAGGACAGGAAGGGGTCCGGCAGAGGACAGGAAGGGGTCCGGCAGAGGACAGGAAGGGGTCCGGCAGAGGACAGGAAGGGGTCCGGCAGAGGACAGGAAGGGGTCCGGCAGAGGACAGGAAGGGGTCCGGCAGAGGACAGGAAGGGGTCCGGCAGAGGACAGGAAGGGGTCCGGCAGAGGACAGGAAGGGGTCCAGCAGAGGACAGGAAGGGGTCTGGCAGAGGACAGGAAGGGGTCCGGCAGAGGACAGGAAGGGGTCCGGCAGAGGACAGGAAGGGGATAGCAGAGAACAGGAAGGGGTCCGGCAGAGGACAGGAAGGGGATAGCAGAGGACAGGAAGGGGATAGCAGAGAACAGGAAGGGGTCCGGCAGAGGACAGGAAGGAGATAGCAGAGAACAGGAAGGGGTCCGGCAGAGGACAGGAAGGGGATAGCAGAGAACAGGAAGGGGTCCGGCAGAGGACAGGAAGGGGATAGCAGAGAACAGGAAGGGGTCCGGCAGAGGACAGGAAGGGGATAGCAGAGGACAGGAAGGGGATAGCAGAGAACAGGAAGGGGTCCGGCAGAGGACAGGAAGGGGATAGCAGAGGACAGGAAGGGGATAGCAGAGAACAGGAAGGGGTCCGGCAGAGGACAGGAAGGGGATAGCAGAGAACAGGAAGGGGTCCGGCAGAGGACAGGAAGGGGATAGCAGAGGACAGGAAGGGGATAGCAGAGAACAGGAAGGGGTCCGGCAGAGGACAGGAAGGGGATAGCAGAGAACAGGAAGGGGTCCGGCAGAGGACAGGAAGGGGATAGCAAAGAACAGGAAGGGGTCCGGCAGAGGAGAGGAAGGGGATAGCAGAGGACAGGAAGGGGATAGCAGAGAACAGGAAGGGGTCCGGCAGAGGACAGGAAGGGGATAGCAGAGGACAGGAAGGGGATAACAGAGGACAGGAAGGGGATAGCAGAGAACAGGAAGGGGATAGCAGAGAACAGGAAGGGGTCTGGCAGAGGACAGGAAGGGGATAGCAGAGGACAGGAAGGGGATAGCAGAGAACAGGAAGGGGTCTGGCAGAGGACAGGAAGGGGATAGCAGAGGACAGGAAGGGGATAGCAGAGGACAGGAAGGGGATAGCAGAGAACAGGAAGGGATCTGGCAGAGGACAGGAAGGGGAGGGCTGAGGACAGGAAGGGGTCCGGCAGAGAACAGGAAGGGGTCCGGCAGAGGACAGGAACGGAAGAGCTGAGAACAGGAAGGGGTCCGGCAGAGAACAGGAAGGGGTCTGGCAGAGGACAGGAAGGGGAAGGCTGAGGACAGGAAGGGGTCCAGCAGAGAACAGGAAGGAGTCTGGAAGTGGATTTCCTTGAACTTACTTCAGTACTTTCATTTGACTTCCAGTGATAGAGAACATCCTCCTCTTGCACATCAATTACAGTCTGAATAGATGTTTTAATGAGTCCCTCAATTCTGTCCATCAATAAAGAAAGACCTTCTGTTCCACAGAGAAATGCTTCTTCAGCCTCCGCCATCCAAAACTCTGCCAGGTGCCTCCGAGTGTGAGAGTTTTCTGCACGGAATGCTGGGTTGAAGTTGTAAACCTTGGACAGCCCACTGTAATGGGAGCTCATTTTTAGCAGGGTTGAGGGTGTATACTTCACACAGTTTGCTGCAATGGTATAATGACTTGTATATAAAGTCTAGCTTTTGTTGTTATTAATGTAAATGTTTCTCTTAGTTAAATACCAGTTTGTTTTATTTGTGTTAAATTTTATGTTTCATTTGTGTTTGAGAGCATGTATTAGGAAATGTGTATGATTCCTTTTGTAAAGTTTTCCCACGTGTTTTCCCGAGATGAGAACAAAATCATTGCTGTTTATGATAATCATTGTTCCTGCCCTCCACGAGGACAGAGGGGGCTGAGACTCAACACACACACAGGTTGTGTGGTGGGAACATTGTTCCTGCCCTCCACGAGGACAGAGGGTGCTGAGACTCAACACACACACAGGTTGTGTGGTGGGAACTCGTGAGATTTGCACCTCACTGGGTGAGGTTATTGACCTCCATTATATCTGAGTGACAAACTTTAATCTTTAATCTGACAAGTGAGAAATTATTCCTTGTTAATGTATTATCCCATTTCATGTGTTTTAATAAATGAAATGTATGCACTATGATTGTTTATCGAGTTCGTCAATTCAAAAACATGGTACTGGCCCCATGTCATTACTCTTGTCTGAAGTGTTTACAAATGCACATTAGTGCACAGTTACAAACCCATTAAGATTTCAACTTAGATTGATTCAACAGAGTAGAAGAAGTTGTTAAACACATATGGCAAAATCTTACTGAAGTGACCATACGAGTCATAAATACTCATACTCCGCCCAAGTAAAACAGAAACAAGCAACACTTAGTGGGCCAGCCAGAGGCTTATGGCCCACACAGGAATATCCCTGAAAAAAAAAAAAAAAAAAATCTACATCCCTGTATTAAAGTAATGTACCTATACTGTAAATAAGAAAGTAAGGATGGGTTTCGTGAGTTCATACTCTATGGTACAATTTGCAAGCTTGTGCCCTGTCAACGGAGAGCACAGGTCAAGATGTGCTAAATCCAAATAAAAGAAGCTACTATCCATGACTAAACACTAACAAAATTTATACATCGTGACAATGTTACCTCCTTTAATAAGATTGTGGAGACAGTATAAGAAGATATGGGTAAAGGTGCTCCAGATAACACACAGACCATATCTTCCATTCAAAAAATGTCAAACCACCACCTCTACACTACAGAAAAGTATTCACAACAGCACTCCACTGCTTCACTCCACTCCACACTCCATAGTGCATGATGGCTACACATAGCCATCATGCACTCTGGTATTGGTTAGTGTGATTTTTTTGTGCATCTAAAGTGAGTGTATGGTGGAAAAACTCCATTACCCTTCGAGGTCGAGGGTTCGAATCCCCCTCACAACTCCAATTGATTTTCTCAATATGAACAATAATTGCAGTGATAACAAAGGTGGTATTTATAGTTTTACCATGTGCACAAAACAACACCGACACTATGACAATGACAGTGATAAAACCAGTGGTAATTATAGTACAGTATTAGCATGTGTGAATAACAACACTGACAGTATGACAATGATAACGGTGATAACACCGGTGGTAATCATAGCATTAGTGTGGACATAAAATAACAGACAATATGACAAAGATGACAGTGATAACAGTGGTAATTACAGTTTTAGTGTGTGAAAGACCCCCCCTCACCAGGCTATGGCTTCCAGATGTAACTGGCCAGAAACCGACAGATGAGCTTCCTGGCCAAAGTAACTGGAATCATTTGCAGTTCTTTCTTCAGTAGTATTGCTGTTGAAAAGCTGAAACACAAAATTGCAAAACATGATACATATTAATATAAAAGCTCTAATACATATTTCCTTTCTCTATAATGTATAGCCCACCATTTTTGTCTTGGTTATGCAAAGTGAAAATTCATGTCTTTAAACTCAAATTAAAACAGCAAGTTTTATTCCACGTAATCAAGGTAATTGTCATTTCTTATCTGCACCTCAGAACTCAAATGATAATTAATAAAGTTGCGACATACAAAAGCTGGAGACTGCACACAATAATTTTTGTTTATATCAGTGAGACTTACACGAACTGAGAATGTTTCTCCACCACCCTCGCAGTCATTGGTTGTCAGTACCGGTGTGTCAATATTAATGAAGCCTTCTTTACGGAAGTACTCTTGAATTGCCATTTTTGCCTGGAAAATTAAAATGGTTAATGTACCAATTAGGTTATTTCTAATCATATTCCTCCTATTCTCTCCATTACATTTCAAAACTGTCTGTCGGTCTTACAGGCAGTCCCACAGGAACTTGAATGCACCTCAATAAACCATTGTTAATGTAAGAAAATGCCAATTTCTGGGGGAGCTCCCGTAGCTCCCTGAAGTTATTATATAAAGTGCTGCTATGGTACCATCTACTAAGTTGCATTAGTTGAGGAGTTCTAACAACAGGGGACCAGCACCAGAACCTGGCCTCCCTCACAGAAAGGCAGGGAGCTGTGACATTTATTTTCACCACCTCACTAGGGGAAACAACCAAAAAAGTCAATGAATCAAAACAAACCAATTTCTGGCTTCAGTAGAAACCTAAGCCTCGAAACCTGCCAAAAGAACTTCCCAATTATGTAAATAAACAATCAAATTCTCTCAGAAATGGCATGAGCTCGTTCACCCCATCTCCCTTCCCCGCTTGTTTGCAGGGACGGGGGTAGGCAACCCAAAATATTAGAAAGTTTTCTTTGGCAAACAAAGTGGTAGATGGTTGGAACAAGTTAAGCGAGAAAGTGGTAGTGGCCAAAACCATCAGTAGTTTCAAAGCTTATATGACAAAGAGTGCTAGGATGATAGGACACCACGAGCGTAGCTCTCATCCTCTAACTACACTTAGGTAATTACACACTATCAGTCTCACACCTCACCCCACCTTCTCCACACACACAGACACTATAGCAGCCTCACCCCACCTTCTCCACACACACAGACACTATAGCAGCCTCACCCCACCTTCTCCACACACAGACACTATAGCAGCCTCACCCCACCTTCTCCACACACACAGACACTATAGCAGCCTCACCCCACCTTCTCCACACACAGACACTATAGCAGCCTCACCCCACCTTCTCCACACACACAGACACTATAGCAGCCTCACCCCACCTTCTCCACACACAGACACTATAGCAGCCTCACCCCACCTTCTCCACACACACACATAAATGATCTACCAGTTGGTATACAGAATTATATGAACATGTTTGCTGATGATGCTAAGATAATAGGAAGGATAAGAAATTTAGATGATTGTCATGCCCTTCAAGAAGACCTGGACAAAATAAGTATATGGAGCACCACTTGGCAAATGGAATTTAATGTTAATAAATGTCTTGTTATGGAATGTGGAATAGGAGAACATAGACCCCACACAACCTATATATTATGTGAGAAATCTTTAAAGAATTCTGATAAAGAAAGAGATCTAGGAGTGGTTCTAGATAGAAAACTATCACCTGAGGACCACATTAAGAATATTGTGCAAGGAGCCTATGCAATGCTTTCTAACTTCAGAATTGCATTTAAATACATGGATGGCGATATACTAAAGAAGTTGTTCATGACTTTTGTTAGGCCAAAGCTAGAATATGCAGCTGTTGTGTGGTGCCCATATCTTAAGAAGCACATCAACAAACTGGAAAAGGTGCAAAGACATGCTACTAAGTGGCTCCCAGAACTGAAGGGCAAGAGCTACGAGGAGAGGTTAGAAGCATTAAATATGCCAAAACTAGAAGACAGAAGAAAAAGAGGTGATATGATCACTACGTACAAAATAGTAACAGGAATTGATAAAATCGACAGGGAAGACTTCCTGAGACCTGGAACTTCAAGAACAAGAGGCCATAGATTTAAACTAGCTAAACACAGATGCCGAAGAAATATAAGAAAATTCACCTTCGCAAATAGAGTGGTAGACGGTTGGAACAAGTTAAGTGAGAAGGTGGTGGAGGCCAAGACCGTCAGTAGTTTCAAAGCGTTATATGACAAAGAGTGCTGGGAAGACGGGACACCACGAGCGTAGCTCTCATCCTGTAACTACACTTAGGTAATTACACTTAGGTAATTACACACACACACACACACACACACACACACTATAGCAGCCTTACCCCACCTTCTCCACACATTCACCACGAGTCTCACACCTCACCCCACCTTCACCAAAGACTCTCTAAGAACAGTACAATTTACAATTGACATGTTCCTGTATCTAAATGTTCACAATATTCCCCTCTCCCCGTATCGCTGCTGCTATGTTATGGGCTTCACAACAGACTAAAACATCACTTTCATTTCATGTGTGGGGCTTGGGTTATTTATTTTCCCCAAGTAACCATACCTGGGAGCGGACTCGCAACAGAGAGCTGAAGGAGTTGGTACGAGCCCGAAGGTGAGGAAATTTACGGACATACTCTGGTGGGTGTAACTGACGAGACTTGAAAGGATACTCCTCTTGGACTGCTCCACCAATTACCTATGGCAAAAAGAAAAACAAATTAAGAATAAAACAAAATATTTACAACTAGTTCCCCCATGAAGCTACCAAGAGTGGAAGTACTACTGAATTAGTACTACTATTCTGTCTCAATCAAAACACTGAGAGCTCTGAAGTTTCTCTGACCTACGTGACTGCAGAGATGTGTTTTTGGTTAACACATTTTTCTAATCACATGTAATGTGTCTAGTCATGACTGCTGCACATGAGATCCGACTTTTTGTAAATTCTTATCATATGCTAAGTTTTTAATATTCTTAGTGATTTCTCTATTGACTAGACATATACAGGTAGAGTATACCTTGAGTAATCATGGGGACATAACACAACCCTCATATACTCATATGCTCTCCATAGAACCTCTTTCCTCACTGTCATGAAATTATTTTCCATAAATATCCAAATTCCTAAACTTTGCTATCAGCCATATTAGACTTAAATCCTTACAACATGCCTGTATTTCATCTGTGACCATCTCAACGTCCTGTCCTTTGTGGGAGGAGGAATGTAAAACTCCTGTAGCTGAAACGGATGCATGGAACCCTAAGTTCACTGACCTCTTTCCTGATGGCAACACAACCTGCAACATCAACACACCTTACATTCAACTCGTTAACATATACAGCTACTAGTTTTGAGCAATAATTTGCTCCTCAAACAAACCTGGTTTTTGTTTTATTAGCACTGTACTTTTGCATACCGAATTAATTTGCTTTATAAAAATCCTAGGATACATGTCTATACAGATGCCAACACACACACAAGAAAAAGCAGAGTTGATTGTAATGAAACGCCATTTTCTGGGCGAGTCCCAGAGGCTTCCTGGCTATCCAGACTGATAAGGATACCCTAACTTTTGGCATCAGTCGATGTGGGTGGAGTTCTAGGCTTACCGGGGACCACGGCCAGAACTTGGGTCCCCTCAGAGAGGCACGCGGAGCAATAGCCTATAGAAATGCACATGTGATTTTTGGAGCATTTTATATCTGCCATCGACCGGGCCAGGCACCCAGAAAGGTAAGTGCCTCAAAACAAACCCCTATTCTGGTGAAAACGACAAAAATAGACAAATGAGTGGACAGAACCCTCCAAATGAAAAGGAGCAAACAAGCATGACGTCACACGAGCCACATCGCACATCTAAGCAGCTCCCCCCCTCCTTGGGAGTGGGAAGGGAAGAGCACCAGACCCCGGTCTTGGCGAGCCACACCCCAGCTCTGAGGCTAGCTATCAAAATACGCAAAAAAACGCCACTCGGAGGGAGGGTTGCCGGGGAGCCTCTGGGACTCACCCAGAAAATGGCGTTTCATTACATTCAACGCTGGTTTTCTGCGAGGAGCTTCCACGGCTCCCCGGAGCTACTTCACCAAAGACAAAAAGAAAGGGGACATACCCGGGAGGGGATTGGTGCTCACACATCAACCTGAAATCGAGACAACTGGCTGCAACCGCTGACTCAAGGCAACACAGGCCCGACAAGGCCCAGGAATAGTAACGAGGAAGCGTCCATCCAGGATTCTGTTCGACCATGAAAAAACCCTGTGCCCGAATGTCAACCCAAGACATGTTAACAAAGACGGCAGCAAGAGCAGCAAAGGTATGAATGTCATGGGCCCGGGGAAAGACCGCAGGCGGGCTAGACTTAAGAACCCTGCGGACGACCTGAGATACCCGTACCCCGCAAACAGGGAAGAAGGGAAACCGGATCAACCCACAGTGGGTCCCCGGACACAGAAGCCATGGCTCGCAAAGAATGGCGGAGGGCTGCAACTGGACACAACACATGATGCATCCCCGGCCTGACCAACCAAGCATCAACAACCCAAGGACCCCTCCGGAACGCAGCAGACACATTCTTCGCCAGAAAGACAGAAACGGCTGCAACTGAACAACCGAATACCACGACCTAGGTGGTGACTAGTGATCCTAGTCTAATCCTAGTGACCTAGACCTAATCCAAATGATCCTAAAAATCCTAGTGACACTAGGATTTTTATGAGAGTAGACAACATAGAGGACACGGCAAACCTCCAATCAGATGTAAATCAGGTCTTTCTATGGGCTACAGAAATTAACATGGTGTTTAACGAAGTTAAAGTTTCAGCTCATGCGCTACGGAAAAAATTAAAATATAAAAACGGAAACCCCGTACAAAACACAGTCAAATCATAACATTGAATGGAAAGGCAATGTAAAGGATTTGGGTGTACTGATGTTGGAAGACCTTACATTTAAAGAACACAATAAAGTAGCCGTCACAACTTCAAGAATAATGACAGGTTGGATAACAAGAACCTTTCACACTAGAGATGCTATACCAATGATGATACTTTTCAAGATGCTAGTGCTCTCTAGAGTGGAATACTGCTGCACAATGACAGCCCCTTTCAAAGCTGAAAAAATTGCTGACCTAGAGAGTGTGCAGAGATCCTTTACTGCTAGAATCCACTCAGTAAAACATCTAAACTACTGGGACCGGCTAAAGAGCCTAAACCTGTATTCTCTAGAGCACAGGCGGGAGAGATACATAATAATTAACACATGGAAAATAGTAGAGGGGCTGGTCCCAAACCTGCACACAGAAATAACAGCACATGAGACCAGAAGGCATGGCAGGATGTGCAGAATACCCCCCGTTGAAGAGCAGAGGTGCAACAGGTACCCTGAAAGAGAACTATCAACATCAGAGGCCCGAGACTGTTCAACACGCTTCCGCTACACATAAGGGGCATAACTGGCCGACCCCTCACAGTGTTCAAGAGAGAACTTGACAAATATCTCCAAAGGATACCTGATCAACCAGGCTGTGACTCATATGTCAGGCTGCGAGCAGCCGTGTCCAACAGCCTGGTTGACCAGTCCAGCAACGAGGAGGCCTGGTCGACGACCGGGCCGCGGGGTTGCTGAGCCCTGGAATCACCTCGAGGTAACCTAAAGAGCAGAAAACCCCTGCATCGGAGAAGAGCACGAAGCTCTGCAACCCCACCCCCAGAGGCCAATGCCAACAAGAAAAAAAAAGTCTCAGAAAAACAAACCTGAATCGAAGGGGCCACCAGCAACCGAAGAGAAGAGAGGTAGGAGAGTACTCTGTCCAAAGACCAGGACTGCTCAGGAGGCGTATGAGCAGGCCAGAGGTGAAACAATGCACGAGACAGCTTGTGAAACGGCGCAGAAATGACATCTATACCAAAAGCAAGCAGCAGCGGCTCTGCCAGTGCTGCATGATACGAAGAGATAGTATTGGGCATAAGATGACGGACCTGGAACAACCACAAGAGAAAGGACAACACCACCTGAACCGAAAGCGAAGTACAAGTAGAAAGAAAAGTACAATGACAAAAAGCCAAAAATAATGGAAGGCCCACCAGGAACTTCATACTGCCACCGAGACGAAGCCCGCAGGTGGAACACCATCAAGGAAACCACCTGATCACCATATAGACGGTGATAAACTCAAGTAAAAAATAACAAACTCGAAGACTCGAGGAGAAGTGTGAACCAGTCCCATAACGGACCGGCCAGATCTGTTAAAAGAGGCGGAGCCGCGGAAAAAACCTTCGGGTTTGGACACCGGGCAAGCAGCGCCTGAACCACGGCTGGGCCGGCCACAACGGGGCCAAGAGAACTACTTGCCCCTGGTAAGTCTCCAAGCGAGTCAAGACCTGGAGCAACAGCTGAACCGGGGGGAAGAGGTATAGGAATCCCCACATCGACCAGTCCTGCTGGAAGGCATCAATCCCAACAGCCTCGCGGTCGGGGAAGGGCGCCACATATTTTGGAAGACGGCTTAACCACGCCGACGCGAAGATGTCCATATACGGGCGCCTGAACGTCCAGCAGAGCAAACTGAACGAGTCGGCGTCGAGCATCCACGCCATACACAGGGGAATGAACCAGGACAGGCCATCCGCCAGGACGTTAGACACTACCTGGACATGAACGACTAGGAGAGCTAAACCCCGAGAACTCAGCAGACTAGTCACCCGAAGCGGCCAGCCCCAAAAAGTCTAGGACATCATCGAACCCCCTTAGTTCAGGCAAAGAACCACTGGGAAGTAGTCCGAATGGAGCCAGATCGTCAATCCGCGGGCGATCAGAACCTTCCAAAGTGCAAACCACACCGCCGCGAGTTCCCGCACCATGCTGTGGACCCGATAGAAGCACGGACCCCACCGCCTGGGCCGGCCTGGTGAGCACTGGTTACAAAGGCCCAACCGAGAGACGACGCATCTGTGAACACATCGAGCGAGGGCTCAGGCAGGCGCCAAGGCACTGAACCCCGAAAAACCCAGGACCCAGAATGTCGAATGACCCTCCCAATCATGTCAAAGGCTGTACCTCACTCAACCAGTTTAAGAGGAAAAACTAAGTACTACCAAATAAACTCCATGTAACCTACCTTACCCCCTAATTGCTAACCCATGTCTTGCTATTTTCAAACAATACTGTTTGTTGACCAAGTTGTATATTTGCTAATTTCTGCCTAGTTCACCCACCCTTTTTTTTTTCTTTTTCTGCACAATTTATACTTTAATCTCAATTAGTATTAAGCTTAGTCTAAGTGGTTTTTTTCCCCATACCTTGCCCGAAATGCTGTGCGTATTAGTGGCTTTAGATGTTGTATGTGCTAGCTCTATCTATAAATCCAACATTATGTTTGTAACTCATCTTCTATGTATGTACTTTTACCTAAATAAACATTTGATTTTTTATTTGATTTTGATTTTGAATGCATCTTTGGGGTCGACCGCTGGATGGAATGGACTTGGTCTGAGGACAGGTTGCTCTTGAACCCAGCAGTGGTCTGTATTGGTTCGCTGACTTTCTGACTGCCTTTCCCAGTAGGGGTGGCGGAGTGTCACCTGCTCCCTGTGCCTCTGTGATGGGGCCAGGTTCTGACTCCGGCCCCCAATTAGCCAAACAGAACTCCACAGCTAATGTGATCTAGTAGTTGGGAGCCATCTCAACAAGATAGCTTGCTGAGATGATAACAATAAATTTGTAGCTTTCTTGAGTTTTTTTTATTATGGAAAGTGGAAGTGTGAAATGAATTGTTTGGTGCCAACACACCTGTAACTTCTGGGAACAAGAGCCATCGTCGACATCTACAAAGATTCGCTCCTTCTGTCGCCTGATGCCCTTCACCCAGCCCTGAGTAGGACAGCAAAATAGATTTTACAATACAGTATAAATCATCAGAGATGTAAACAATTATATGTCCCAAAACCTATATCATCCACCTTTTATCAATTTTTTTTTAATTATTAGTATCATTCAAGGAAAAACCAGTGTTGATTGTACTAATTAAATGCCTTTTTCTGGATGAGCCCAATGCTCCCTGAAGCTATCTCACCGAGATGGCTCCCAACTACTAGGACACATTACCCGTGAAGTTGTTTGGTCTTCTGGGGACCAGAGCCAGAACTTGGCCCCCCCAACCCTCACAGAGGTGCAGAGAGCAGATGACACTCAGCCACCCCACCAGGAAAGCATCCAGAAAGGCAGCAAACCAATACAGACCACTGCTGGGTTCAAAGAGACCAAAAGCCTCAAAACCACCAAAATAAACTACCCCAAATAATGTAAATAAACAATTGAATCTCCCAAAACTAGCATGAGCACATTAGCAATTGGTGAAGGTTCAGAGGTATGCCACCAGAATAGTACTCGAGCTGAGGGGTATGAGCTACGAGGAGAGACTACAGGAACTAGACCTCATGTTGCTGGAAGACAGAAGAGTTAGGGGGAGACATAATCACCACATACAAAATTCTCAAGAGGAATTGATAGAGTAGTGAAGTGAAGTGAACTATCAGGAGAAAGCGCCAAGCCATTACGACTATATAGCACTAGAATTGATAGGGTAGATAATGACAGTTCATTTAACACAGGGGGCACACACACTAGGGGACACAGGTGGAAATTGAATACGCAAATGAGCCAGAGACATTAGAAATAACTTTTTTAGTGTCACAGTAGTTAACAAATGGAATACAGTACATTAGGAAGTGATATAGTGGAGGCAGACTCCATACACAGTTTCAAATGTAGATATGATAAGAGCCCAATAGGCTCAGGAATCTGTACACCAGTTGATTGACAGTTGAGAGGTGGAACCAAAGAGTCAAAGCTCAACTCTTGTAAGCACAACTAGGCAAGTACAACTAAGAGTACTGCCCAAAACTCCCTGCTGGGTAAAGGTAGCAGGGCCAGAGCTCCTGGTCTCCCCAGCTCTCCACACCAGTTCTGGAGCAGATGAGCACACAACACCCACCAACTGACAACCTGGGAGTCAGGGAGCTACTAGGACTTACCCAGAAAGAGGCAATTTCATTACATTCAATGCTGGTTTTCTGAATTAGCTACTTGTGACTCCCTGAAGTCCCACTATGGGAACCTTGAAAAACTTGGGGTCATATGTGTCACCGATCAAATAGGTAGCATGGTCATCATCCCATGGCACAGATGACAAACAGCCCTCAAACTCGCACAAGGCGAGAATGTGTCCGAAGAGAATATCCACTGGCCCTACCAAAGCCAAAGGGGATTACTAGAGTCTGAGAGACAAACCAAACAGTACACCCAGGCACTGAGGATGCTCACTGGATATTATAAGGTAGACCAACACAGCCTATTTAACATGGCTGTGAAGGATGGCCTCGGCATGCTGTGTGAACAAGTGTGCAAACAACCAGTGCACATCAACCAGCCAAAAGTGTTCACCCCCAACTAAGGAGCTAGACTGAGGGGTAAAATGACCCCAGACACACCCAAGGTAAGACTCTAACCCAGTGGTCAAGCCTCTAAAGAATAAACTCCTGAATACACCAGAGAACTGTGTCAGTGCACGGGCAACGTTAACGAACACTCAAAGAGAGCCCCAAGCACATGCAGCCTCAAGAACTCTACAGACCAGGTCAACGCCAAAGAAAACACTTTGCAGGAGTCTTTGGAAGTCTTTACAGGCCAAAGTACAAGGATTTAGCTTAGAAAAAACAGGACCCATACAGCTTGCTGATCTCCTGGGAACCGAACAGTGGACATCTACACAAGTCCGGCAACAGAATTGCTGTGGATAGCTGTGGAAGACCTGGAGCTCTGCCCCCCAAGCTGGTGGAAGACAGTGCTAATAAGCTCATGCTAGTTTCAAGAGATTCAATCATTTGTTTACAATGCTTGGGGAGTTTGTTTGGTGGTTTTGAGGCTTTGGTCTCTTTGAACCTAACAGAGGTCTAAATTGGTTCGCTGACTTTCTGGATCAGCAGTGGGGTAGCGGAGAGTCACCTGCTCTCTGCCCCTTTGTACGGGGGAAGGGGAGGGGTAGGTTCTGGCTCTGGTCCCTGATAGGCCAAGCAGAACTCCACATATGATGTGACATAGTAGTTGGGAGTCATCTCAGTGAGACAACTTCAGGTGAACAACACCAAAAAGAGAAGAGCCCCAAGGCTTTCCCAAAAAAGTTTGAAAACAAAATTGCTGAAATCAAAATATGTAACATACACTGTGTATAAAATAACTAATGATTTTGTGATGATATTGTAACAGCTTCTCCTTCATATCAACCTACTCTGGCTTTGCACCCTGGAGAGGCCACTCAGACTGACAACCAGAGCACAACCCCATAGTCTCCTGAGACTGATGGAGGCCTACTACTACTACTGTGAATTTATGTACTTACAGTAGACAGTACAGTACTATATGTTCATACATGTAATACAACTTTGTATTTGTATACCAGTATATATATACTGTATATGTATAAACTCCATGTATATAAACAATGTCTGAGTGCTGTGGCTGTCTGCTTCACTCTGTCATCATAATCAGCATTGTGTTCAATGTTATCTGAATGTTGTACATAGTCTTTATCACAGTCTGGATCATCTATAACAATATCATGACAAAATAATTAGTTACTGTATATTATTCATCATTATTAAGTGGTGGTGTGGCCCCTAGCTGCACAGCTGTGCTGTGAGCTCCTGCTGCATGCACCAGCATTGGTCACTCCTGCAGTACTTAGGCTCTCACAGCCAGGAGGGATGCACATAAATGTTTTTCAAAACAGCATCTGTTTACTGGAGTTCTGAGGAACAGGATGTGAGCGCAGTGAATCCCAGGGAGTTTTGAATCTTACAATATACTAACAAACATCATATGTTGAGCAGTGCACACCCTATACATATGATATCATGGTTTGTGCGATACAGTTAAAACATACCTGATTACGTTACACAGATTACGGAGAAGTGACGAGAACATTCATGGTTGTGTCACACAGTTAAAGGGTTAAACTTCAGAATTTTTATAAGGCTTCGTTTGGTCCTGCTACTGCCAACTCCACTTGAAATATCCTGATTTTACACACTAGCCTATAGTACTGACTATATATATTAGCCTACAGTACTGACTTTTCTTTAGACCCCAATCAATGTCCCTCGTTTCTTATATGACACATTGATATGCCAGCTTTCAAAGCTTAACTTAATAACTTACATTAACTTTAACAGTTTGGTTGATTGGCTTGTCATGCAGTAGAGCCAATATACTGCTAGTGCGACAGCCTGAACTGTAACATCGCAAGCCCTGCCTCCAGGGCACACTTGTAAACATTGTGATACTTGTGTACTAGATATTGCTCTCCTAACAACTTCTTGGAGTCTATCTTGAGGTAATTCAAGCAATTAATCTGAAACATAAAACCCATATTAATACACCAGGTGACATCTTTGTGCATACAATGAATAAAGAATATTCTTCACTTGTCAGCTACAACACCCTACGTTGCCAACTCACCTAACTCAACTGAACCCCCATATTATTCTGGGATATTAAGTAGAGTGAAGGAACAATACCCAACTAAATTACAGCATAAATAACCAGGGAAAAGCTGCCAGTCTCTGCACATCAGTGCTGAAAAATACAAAATGAACTTTTGAAAAACCTGGTAAGTTAATCACTGGTTGTTAAATGACCTGTCCTAGACTGCAGGTACAGTGTATATTTTTTTGTTATATTCAGTAATAAACCTTGATAAAGTTGTTTTTGAAAAAAATGTAAAAATCCAGCACTGAATGTATTGAAATGCATCTTTCTATTAAAGCCCTGATGGCATCTTGAAGCTATCTTCAGGAAGCCCTGGCGGCTTCCTGAAGGGAGGGAGAATGTGGTGTAGTGGGTGTGAGGTTATTACATAATTTATCCTCAAGTCAGGGGCCGGGCTTAGGGAGTAGAACTCCCAGAACCTCATCCAGGTACAATCCATGTGCAATACCATGAGAGAACTAGAACTTCAAGAGCAAGAGTTCATAGACTTAAGCTAACAAAGCTGCTGAAAAAAATACTTATATTTCATAATTCTTCTGAAAGTGAATTTCTTCTACGAAATTCCCTTTTGCAGAGTAATAGACGGTTGGAACAAGTGAGAGGGGTGGTGGAGGCCAAAACCGTCAGTAGTTTCAAAGCTTATATGACAATGCTTGGAAGACGGGACACTACAGCCATAGCTCTCATCCTGTAATTGCACTTTTGCTTCTTCTTGATGGTACTTGCAGTTAGCAAGATGGATTTATTTCCCCGATGACTGCACACTAACTACTGTACTACTACTACTACTACTTTGCCATACGTGCAGTTTGCACGAAGGTTTTTCCTCCCGATGACTACATGATCATCCTGATGAGTGGTGATGTTGATAGATGCAGCACTTGCAGTGGCACATCAATGTTCAGAATTTGGCAGAGGTTGAAAGTTATCAATGTCTTTTATTTGTGTGAGGATAATGAGAAAAATAAACATATGAGTAGAAATAGACTTAGGATGGCAAAGATGAAGAGTGGTGTTAATGGTGGTATCCAAGTGTTGCTGTTTTATGAAACATGTGTGGTTTTAGTCAAGAGACTGAGATTGTGAGTATGTTTGGAAGTTTGTCGCAATTCAGATATGTTAGGGTAAATTATGGTAGGGCGAGTTAAAATACATTACGTAACATGGGGTTAATGTGTATAAGGTTACGTTAGGTTGGGGTAAGTTAGGGTAGGATAGGTTGGGTAGATTAGATTGGGGTAGGTTAGGTTTAGTTGGGGTAGGGTAGGTTAGTTGAAAAGGGGTTATGTTGTCGTATTTCAGAGTTTTACACTTGGGATGTGATTACATCGGTCTTCTTTGACTAAGAAGACCGATGTGTGTGTCGGTCACCCCAGAAGAAGTGCTTTTTTTGGCACTTCTTCTAATGACGTGCTAGTGATACACCGTGTAAAATATCTGGGAGTGGTTGGGGGGGATGCGTCATGAGAGAGTGTGGTTTATGTGGTTTCTCAGTCGAAGTGCCAGGTCGTTGGGAGGTTTGTACAGCTGAGGATTTCTTACTCCTGGTGCCGGTGGTTGGGGTATGTGGCAAGTCAGCCTGGGGAGTGACTTCGGTAAGGCGTGCTAAGGAGTTATTTAGGAGTTTTTCCATCATCAGTTCGAACGATGTGTATCCACCAATGGTAGCTTTGTTTGGGCGGATGTCATTGTAGTTGTCGATGGAGTGTCTGTTGGGTCAGCCTCGGGTATGGGTCGAGTTACTTGTGTAAAGAATTAAGTAACTAAACATTAACTAAGTAACTAAACAAAACTAAAGAATTAAGGAACTAAACAACACTCACATAACCAAATAAAACTCTACAAGGATGGGAATATACCGTCAACTGATTTAGAAATGGCAAATGAATTTAATAGTTTCTTTTCATCGGTTGGTGCTAATCTTGCCAGTAAAATCCCACAGACTCAAGACACATATTAACACATATCTCTCAGGCAGCTATCCAAACTCTCTTCTCCTTTCACCAATCAGCCCGGCAGATGTTGTGTCCATCATACACTCTCTAAAAACCAAGGCAGGGAACACCAGTGAAATTCCGTCCATTGTGTACAAGAGAGCCTCCCATGTCCTTGCCCCACCCATAGCACTACTGTTCAACAAATCTATAGAGTGTCACACCTTCCCTGATATCCTCAAAAAAGCAAGAGTAACGCCAGTCCATAAAGGAGGCAATCCGGCGGACATAAACAATTATAGACCAATATCAAATCTACCCATTCTATCAAAAGTATTTGAAAAAATTATTTACAAACAGCTCTATTCCTACCTCGTAAAATTCGACATACTCAGCCCCTGCCAGTTTGGCTTCCGGTCCCAAAAGAGTACCAATGATGCAATCATTAGTCTCCTTGACATTATCTACTCAGCCCTTGACAAAAATGAGTTTCCGATTGGACTCTTCATTGACCTAAGAAAAGCCTTTGATACTGTTAATCACAACTACCTCTTACTTAAACTCCAGCATTATGGAATCCGAGGCCTTGCCCTTGACTACATCCGATCCTATCTTAGTGACAGACACCAATATGTAACCATCAATGATACAACTTCTTCCACTCTACCAATTACCGTTGGAGTGCCACAGGGCAGCATCTTAGGACCTCTTCTATTTCTTATATATATAAACGATCTGCCTAATGTCTCCAATATTCTCAAACCTATATTGTTTGCTGATGATACTACCCTTATCTACTCAAACCTCAACCCACATACACTAAATAATGTTGTGAATAATGAATTAAAAAAAGTCCACTTATGGATGTCAACGAACAAACTAACATTAAACATCGAAAAGACTTACTACATCTTATTTGGAAGCAAATCATCAAATGCAATTCAGCTACAGATAGACAACATTAACATCAGTAATAAAAATGATGGCAAGTTTCTTGGCCTATTCCTAGACAAGAGACTCAACTTCAGCACCCACATTCAACACATAACTAAGAAAGTCTCTAAGACAGTTGGTATACTCTCCAAAATCAGATATTATGTTCCTAACTCTGCTCTCCTCTCACTATATTATGCACTAATCTACCCCTATCTTAATTATGGTATCTGTGCATGGGGGTCTACCACTGCAAACCACCTTAAGCCCATCATCACACAGCAAAAATCTGCTATCAGAATAATAACTAACTCTGCTTTCAGACAACACTCAGCTCCCTTGTTTAAATCCCTAAACTTGCTAAATATTAACTCCCTCCACACATTCTCTTGTGTCAACTACATTTACAAAACCCTGTTCTTAAATGCAAACCATGCTCTGAAACTCTCCCTGGACAGATGTAATAGGACCCATTATCACCACACCAGAAATAAATATCTCTTTGATATCCCCAGGGTCAAACTTAATCTGTGTAAACACTCTATGCAAATTAAGGGACCTAGTCTATGGAACTCACTCCCTAGTGAATTGAAAAACTGTAAAACTTTTGCCTTATTTAAAAGCAAAACCAAAAAGTACCTAACTTCATCTATTTAGTTTCCTACACTGAGCTTTAAATTTGCTCTGTACCTAGTGGTACCCAATCTCCTAATTTTTATGTAATATCAAACAACCTTATCATTGTGTTCATTGCTGTCTTCTTTTATGTGCTAGCCATATGCTGTATTGTGACTACCAATTTTTGTCAACTACCATTCAAGCTGTCATTGCAATCAATCTTATATTGTTTCTGCTGTATTGTGCCTACCAATTTGTTGTCAACTACCATTTTAAGCTGTCATTGCAATCAATCATAGCTACCTATGTGCTTTAATATACTGTACCTATAATTTTCTCTCATCTTTTTTTTTTTTTTTTTCATTCCATGTAATCTGTTATCATTTTTTTGTCTATAAATTTTGCAAGTATTTACCTCCTTAAAATTTTCTTAGATTAAGGACCTGCCCGAAACGCTGCGCGTGCTAGTGGCTTTACAAGACTGTAATTACCATAATTGTATCCTCACATTCCTTATGTACATTCTTGTATATGCATAAATAAATAAATAAATAAAATAAGTTAGGAGTCAGTTCAACGTCTTTTCTAGTGCAGTTTCAGTGCAAGTGACAAGAGTTTCAACAAGATTAGGACTCGGTTGTATATTTTGTGAGAGAGAATTGGACTCTGGGGGTGCAGGATTGTCTAACTAGACTTAGGAAATTACCTAACGTGGAGGCCTTCTTGTTGTTTACCTTTGAATTCTTCCTGGGCTGGGTCACGGTTGCCAGATCTAAATTGCTCAAAGTAGCGAGCTGACGCTCTAAAAGTAGCGAATTTGTAATAAAAGTAGCCCAATTTTTTTCAGTGAATGATATGGGTTTCAAAGTAATATATTTTGATATATAGAGTACACTACACGATGTTAATTGTTTTATATATATATATATATATATATATATATATATATATATGTCGTACCTAATAGCCAGAACGCACTTCTCAGCCTACTATTCAAGGCCCGATTTGCCTAATAAGCCAAGTTTTCATGAATTAATGTTTTTTCGTCTACCTAACCTACCTAACCTAACCTAACCTAGCTTTTTTTGGCTACCTAACCTAACCTTACCTATAAATATAGGTTAGGTTAGGTTAGGTAGGGTTGGTTAGGTTCGGTCATATATCTACGTTAATTTTAACTCCAATAAAAAAAAATTGACCTCATACATAGAGAAAAGGTTTGCTTTATCATTTCATAAGAAAAAAATTATAGTAAATATATTAATTCAGGAAAACTTGGCTTATTAGGCAAATCGGGCCTTGAATAGTAGGCTGAGAAGTGAGTTCTGGCTACTAGGTACGACATATATATATATATATATATATATATATATATATATATATATATATATATATATATGTCGTACCTAATAGCCAGAACGCACTTCTCAGCCTACTATTCAAGGCCCGATTTGCCTAATAAGCCAAGTTTTCATGAATTAATATATTTACTATAATTTTTTTCTTATGAAATGATAAAGCAACCCTTTTCTCTATGTATGAGGTCAATTTTTTTTATTGGAGTTAAAATTAACGTAGATATATGACCGAACCTAACCAACCCTACCTAACCTAACCTAACCTATATTTATAGGTAAGGTTAGGTTAGGTAGCCAAAAAAAGCTAGGTTAGGTTAGGTTAGGTAGGTTAGGTAGACGAAAAAACATTAATTCATGAAAACTTGGCTTATTAGGCAAATCGGGCCTTGAATAGTAGGCTGAGAAGTGCGTTCTGGCTATTAGGTACGACATATATATATATATATATATATATATATATATATATATATATATATATATATATATATATATATGTCGTACCTAGTAGCCAGAACGCACTTTTCAGCCTACTATGCAAGGCCCGATTTGCCTAATAAGCCAAGTTTTCATGAATTAATTGTTTTTCGACTACCTAACCTACCTAACCTAACTTTTTCGGCTACCTAACCTAACCTAACCTATAAAGATAGGTTAGGTTAGGTTAGGTAGGGTTGGTTAGGTTCGGTCATATATCTACGTTAATTCTAACTCCAATAAAAAAAATTGACCTCATACACAATGAAATGGGTAGCTTTATCATTTCATAAGAAAAAAATTAAAGAAAATATATTAATTCAGGAAAACTTGGCTTATTAGGCAAATTTGGCCTTGCATAGTAGGCTGAGAAGTGCGTTCTGGCTACTAGGTACGACATATATATATATATATATATATCGTACCTAGTAGCCAGAACGGACTTCTCAGCCTACCATGCAAGGCCCGATTTGCCTAATAAGCCAAGTTTTCCTGAATTAATATATTTTCTTTAATTTTTTATTTATGAAATGATAAAGCTACCCATTTCATTATGTATGAGCTCAATTTTTTTTTTTTTTTTTTTTTTATTGGAGTTAAAATTAACTTAGATATATGACCGAACCTAACCAACCCTACCTAACCTATCTTTATAGGTTAGGTTAGGTTAGGTGGCCGAAAAAGTTAGGTTAGGTTAGGTTAGGTAGGCTAGGTAGTCGAAAAACAATTAATTCATGAAAACTTGGCTTATTAGGCAAATCGGGCCTTGCATAGTAGGCTGAGAAGTGCGTTCTGGCTACTAGGTACGACATATATATATATTGATTTTTTGCCGCCAGAGGTGTTAGTTAGTTTAGTTCATTTATTATGCACCCCATACCCATCTTGTGGGCGGTAGTGGAAAGGGTTACAGAGGCACATAATGGGCTCAGGGACTGAACCCCACAATTCATTTAGCTAAGCAAGTTACAATCTTGATGAGCTAGTTACAAAATTCAATATAAGTCGTCACATCAACAATGGGTTCGAGATCGACCTCAAGTACAGGTTCTAAATTAAGCAACTGACATATGTGGAGAGATAGTGTCACAATTGATATGTTTATCTTGCACCCCCCCCCCTCCCCCCTCCATCCAGTGGGCAGCGGTGGATAGGTTACAATCACTCAGTTACTACCTACAGTTTGCAAACTGGGGATATTTGGCTAAAATTTCTGGTAGCAGATCATTTTGAATGAAATATTTACACATCGTTGGAACATTGGTTATAGAATTTTCTCTAAATTCACGTAACTTTCCGCACTCCATCACATAGTGACGGAGGGTGTGCGAATAATTTTGTTGACAGTTTATATTTGGTCAAGTCTACATCGGCAGATAATGAAAATTCCCAGAGATACTTGTAACCGAGTCTAAGCCGAGCAGTAGTAACATCTAAAAGTCTGCTGATTTTATTGGGTGAACCATAGATGTGTGGCGCCTCTTGCATGATAGTATGATGGTAGATGGAATTACTGGTGTCAATTTCACTTTGCCTCAGATCTACAAGATCTTGTTGAAGTTCTCGGTGTACTGCTGCTCTCAGATTGCTCATTGACAATCCAAGGTTACACTCAACGGCTCCTTTAAAGGCAAATTCTTTGGCTAACTTATCAGCTCTATCATGCATTCGGAGGCCAACATGAGATGGAGACCACATGAAATGGACTCTGTTACCATCCTTAATAATTTTGTTGTATTTGTATCTAGCTTCGGACACGAGAATGTTACAGTTATGTCTTAAAGAGTTGAGAGCATTTAAGGATGATAAGGAGTCACTTACAATTAATGTATCAAGTTTGGAGACTTGTACACATTTCAGTGCAAGGAGCAAGGGCAAATAGTTAGTCTGAAGGGTAGAGGCCCAGTTGTTTATACGGACTCCCCACTCAAAGTACAAGCCATCGCCCATTGTCAGAACAACTGCACCCGTGGTGCGGTGTAGGGAACCATGCATCAGTGTATATGATTTGAGAGAGAGAGAATGCTCTGTGGACAGAGCATCAATATGACTTAAGGCGTTGAGCTTTGCCTCAAGACGAAGCTTGGGCTGATCTCTAATTTGCTTCTTGGGTGGAAAGGGAGGGATTAAAACTGGAAAGGGTGTAACCTCCCACGGTGCAGGAAAGTGCCGTTGTTGTTTCTCTTGGTACAAATCATGAACCTGATACATTCTGAGTTGAGTTCCAGAGGTAGATAGTTCATTAAGCATCCCCTATTCAACCATAGTGAGTGGTGGTTTATTGTGCACCCCGAACCCCGACCAGTTGTGTAAGCGGACCCCGACCAGTTGTGTAAGCGGACCCCGACCAGTTGCGTAAGCGGACCGCGACCAGTTGTGTAAGCGGACCCCGACCAGTTGTGTAAGCGGACCCCGACCAGTTGTGTAAGAGGACCCCGACCAGTTGTGTAAGCGGACCCCGACCAGTTGTGTAAGCGGACCCCGACCAGTTGTGTAAGCGGACCCCGACCAGTTGTGTAAGAGGACCCCGACCAGTTGTGTAAGCGGACCCCGACCAGTTGTGTAAGCGGACCCCGACCAGTTGTGTAAGAGGACCCCGACCAGTTGTGTAACTGCAAGCCTAGCATGAACGAACCGACAATAAACATACTTGAACTTGAAGTGGACTTTAATGTTTTTTCGGCAGCTTTATTTCCTTAGTTTCCGAGCTGTTTTCTTTACCGTGTATGTTGTAATAAACTATTCCTATATTTACAGTTGTTTCTCCCTGTAAAGATTATTAAACAATGGTGATTATAAGGGCGCGGAAGTTCAGCCTGGCCAGGGCCGCCAGCAGCCCTTGGGCCCGCCCCGGCAGCACCCAGTCTTTAATTTGGCACATTTGTGGCACCTTTGTGGCACCTTGGTATAAGTCTAACATGTATATATACACTGGCTGCCTGTCCCCTACACAATGATTTATTATTACCTATTTATCATTTGTTATCATTCGTTGATTAATGTATATAGAAACACTGAGATAAGGACTGTTCCTGAACAAATAGCCTGGATGTGTCACAACGGAAAGGTTGATGATATTCTTGAGAGATATAAGAATTTTGCACCAAGACTGTAATCTTTTGTTGAATTATCTGCATGTCTCTTGGAAATTGTCTATACAGCCTAGGTCATTGTCTATTACACCCTAGGTCATAAAAGTATTTGTGTGTACGTCTGATACCATACTACTTGTGTAAAGGAGAAAATGTATATGTTTATCTCTCAGAATGTTTGGTAATATGTTTATTGTTTGTGATGTGTGTCTATGTATGTATTAACACGATGTACTGAACGGCGTGAGAATAGCTTGAGCTACCTCATCCCTTTGTGTGTATTTTACATCAATAAACTTATTTCAATTTCAATTTCAATTTTATCATTTAATTTAAATATTAAATAAAATAATTTATTTAATTATTATAGTAAGTACTTAATAATTTAATAATAAGTAGTAAGTACATAAAAATAATTAAAAAGTACAGTTTAGTCATAGGAGATTCCTAGATTGGAATTCACTACCAAATTTTGATATATATCCAAGTATTTTTAGTGTGAAATGCTGTTATTTTATGCAAAATTGTTGTTTTAATAATATTACGCTTAACCACTTGGGCTGGACGGTAGAGCGACGGTCTCGTTTCCTACAGGTCCGCGTTCAATCCCCGACCGCCCAAGAGGTTGGGCACCATTCCTTTCCCCCGTTCCATCCCAAATCTGTATCCTGACCCCTTCCGAGTGCTATATAGTCGTAATGGCTTGGCGTTTTCACTTGATAGTTCCCCCACCACCCCTGAATAATATTACGAGAGCAGTATTTACGGGCTATTCATGCCCGTGCAACCTCTTGGGTGGCTTAATCTTCATCAATCGAGAGAAGTACGTCCTAACCAGACGTTATATGATGATATCCTCAACAGTTGATAAATAAAAGTAATTGCGGAACTCCAGTTATCTAATACTTATCATAAATAGTATAAAATCTTATCATAAGCCAAGGGATTTGTAGATCAGTGTTTAAAGGGAATTCAGAAGTAATAATGATACAGCTGATGCCATCTGTCGGCAGAAGAGAACACTATCAACTGGCTGGTCAACAGTGGCCATAAGATACAGCTTACGCCATCTGTTGACATCAAATTACACTTATAACAAATTACCCCACAAAATACAACTAACGCCATCTGTTTTTTTTCCAACGCACTATAAATAGCCAAACAGCAACCCATAAGGCGGGTTGTTGTGCTCGGGTAGGAGGTTCCACGCTCCGCCCACAAGATGGTATGGAGTGCATAATAAATGGCACATCATTGGTAGATATTCTTTGTTGACATTCACACAACAGCCAATCACAGGAAGGGATCAGCTATAGGTGCCATTCACTTAGTAAATAATCTTAGTTCAGCCCACTAGTCCTGCTTATGGAATTCTGCTTTAACTTTAATTTACTCCAAAAAAAAGTGAAGTGTTAATTATTTAAAGTGTTAATAAAGTGATAATTAAATATTGCAGGATATAACAGATGTTATATAAAAATGGGCTGGCTACCTAACTTGAGACGTTATTATTGGGGGTTGCCTTGACACAAATAATGATACACTGCTCTGCCCTCTTATTCGAGTAAATTATTCAGTTAAATGGAGATATCTGTCAGGTGCAAATCAGAAATTGTTGTTCTTTTTCACAACAACCTTGTTGTTGTGCACAAGGACCTATTTCTTAGTTTAAATTTGATTCATAAAAGAATGTTGGTATTCCCCGCAACAGCCAATCACAGGAAGGTATTTCTGGAAGCTCGGCCTCCTTATGGACTCAGCACATCGCTCTAGCTCATGGCTCTCTGTTTCATCTCTTGTATATACAAATTATGACTCTTTTCGATTACTGTTATAATTAATAATATGAGATATAAAAGTTTTTACACAAAATGGCTAAATTCTGCCATTAAATGGACTTTGTTTGGTATACATACATACATACACCAATTTATTACCATTCATCCATTTTTAATTTCAAATGTAATGTATACTGTCTAGTTTTTTCCTCTCGCCATTACTTGGTGCAATATTTGAAAGTTGTCTATTTATTTATCGATCTATCTATTATCTTGTATTTATATTTACAAGTTTCTGTGTTTGGAAGAAAACTCTGCATTGAATTGGGACTAATTTATTAAAGAATATTATTTAGCATTAATTAATATTTACAATTATTATTAATTACAATTATTTATACCTTAGTTACTTTCATGTAACTCGCAATCGTACATTCTTAACTTTAATAGCCCAAATTAGCACATCTTGCTTTTAAATTAGCCCAAAAAGTAGCAAGTAGCGAAATTAAAAATTTGGGAGCGCGGGGCTCACAAAAGTAGCCCAATTCGCTATTTGTAGCCGAATCTGGCACCACTGGGCTGGGTGCTCGGCATAATAATAGTCATGGCGATTATGAGGGTTTAGTAGTCACGGCGCTATTATTGTCAAGAATTATTTATTTATTTATTTATATATACAAGTGTTCTTACATTTTTGTACAGCCACTAGTACGCATAGCTTTTCGGGCAAGTCCTTAATCTTTCCTCCCTCACTCACTCACTCACTCACTCACTCACTCACTCACTCACTCACTCACTCACTCACTCACTCACTCACTCACTCACTCACTCACTCACTCACTCACTCACTCACACACACACACACACACACACACACACACACACTGGACCTAAAAAAGGCTTTTGACAGAGTTCCACATAAGAGGTTGTTCTGTAAACTGGAAAATATTGGAGGGGTGACAGGTAAGCTTCTAACATGGATGAAAAATTTTCTGACTGATAGAAAAATGAGGGCAGTAATCAGAGGCAATGTATCGGACTGGAGAAATGTCACAAGTGGAGTACCACAGGGTTCAGTTCTTGCGCCAGTGATGTTTATTGTCTACATAAATGATCTACCAGTTGGTATACAGAATTATATGTACATGTTTGCTGATGATGCTAAGATAATAGGAAGGATAGGAAACTTAGATGATTGTCATCCCCTTCAAGATGACCTGGACAAAATAAGTATATAACACCTCACAAGACAAGTGAGGGTAGTCCAGCGCCTGCCCCGCACCCTGCACCGTATCTTGCACGAGTCTCCAGTGCGGCAGTGATGCTCTACTGGAGTTCCTCTAGGCTTGTAGGAAGAGGGAGGACACACACTAATCCCTTCACATGGCCCTAGAGAAAACAAAATCGCAAGGCGTCAGGTCAGGTAAACGTGGCGGCCATTTCGCCAGCACAAGCACGCCCGCGCCATCTTTTTATGTAAGTGGGTCCACACAGTGAGCTTCCAGGGAGGTGGAAGCTCACTGTGCCACCCTCTTAACGTATGGCTCCCATGTAAACAAGTTGGAGTGAGCCCTCAGTCAGTGTTAACAACATATGTGGTAGTGGCTTCACCACTACCACATATACGTCTACACACAATATGTAATCCCACAACATAAACGGCCTCAATAGTTTACCAGAGAAGTATATATTTCTTACGGCAGCAGTCAACAATCATGCATTTTTTTAGGGAAAATTTAAATACAAATTCACATTTAATTTTTATTAATAATTAACATTATAAATATAACGAAACTAATACAAATAATATTACAAACAAAGAACCTTTGTGGCAAATGAGTAGACTACGAAGTATACGGAGGTGAGTATACTGTAGCCATCGAGGTATACAGAGATGAGTTTACACTGCCAGGGAATGACAGGCAAACGGGAGAGACGAGGTCTGCGCCACGGCTGTAGGGAGTGATGTGAGGAGTATGGTCGTAACACTCACCAGATCATCCATCACCCTCAGATAGCCCCAGTGTACAGGTAGCCCTCAAGTAGCCCCAGTGTACAGGTAGCCCTCAAGTAGCCCCAATGTACAGGTAGCCCCAGTGTACAGGTAGCCCTCAAGTAGCCCCAGTGTACAGGTAGCCCTCAAGTAGCCCCAGTGTACAGGTAGCCCTCAAGTAGCCCCAGTGTACAGGTAGCCCTCAAGTAGCCCCAGTGTACAGGTAGCCCTCAAGTAGCCCCAGTGTACAGGTAGCCCTCAAGTAGCCCCAGTGTACAGGTAGCCCTCAAGTAGCCCCAGCGTACAGGTAGCCCTCAAGTAGCCCCAGTGTACAGGTAGCCCCAGTGTACAGGTAGCCCTCCGGTACCCATCAGGTAGCCCCAGTATACAGAAGTACTCAGGTAACCCATAACGTGTGATGGGTCATTGGGACAGGGTGACGGGTCATGAGGGCAGGGTGACAAGTCATGAGGGCAGGGTGACAGGCCATGAGGGCAGGGTGACAGGTCATGAGGGCAGGGTGACAGGTCATGAGGGCAGGGTGACGGGTCATGAGGGCAGGGTGACGGGTCTTGAGGGCAGGGTGACGGGTCATGAGGGCAGGGTGACGGGTCATGGGACACAGCAGCAGGGTGAGTGGACAAGGTGGTGGTGTGGTTGGAAACAATAAATAGTGTGGTGGTGGTGAGGGATGGGCCGGCAGCCGTGGCGCGTCCGCCGCCATAATAACAATAAATAACGACACCAGACGGGTGATGTTTGTACGACCGAAGTGGCCACAGTATTCACTATCGAGAGTCAGGAGAGGGACCGGAAACGACGGCCCGCTATCCACCTTACATTACTACACTCGGCCTTGGCTGAGAGAGATGCCCGTACTGAGCACAAACGTGTTGGCTGCTGCACCGTCCAGCGCTGCTCGGGGAGTGACACTCTTTCCACGTCTTATAACGACGCGCAGAACAGCACCTCGGGGGCTACCCGGCGTGTGCCAGGTAGCAGCCCTGACGCACCAGCACACAAGGGCTGGCTCCCGGGTGGTCATTGAACAGGACGCTGAAGGTGTTGAGGTGTTAATTAGCTCACATATCACGAAGACGAGCTGACCGAGACCGACGCCGAGACCTTGGCCTCGCTCACGTCCACATTGGTCTCGACGCGGTCTTCAGCGGTCTTGGGATTACGGGGGTCGACGGAGAGAGACGGGTCCGAGAAGGCCGGGTAGCCGATAGTGGGCTCCCAGTCGCTCCCTTTCTCCTCCTCCTCTTTGTCGGTGACATCTGAGTCCTTCTTTTTCTGTGCAGTGTAGCTCGAGGTCTGTGACGAGGTTGTCAAATGGGCGGGGGCAGACTGTGACGAAATTGTCAAGTGGGCGGGGGCAGACTGTAACGAGGTTGTCAAGTGGGCGGGGGCAGACTGTAACGAGGTTGTCAAGTGGGCGGGAGTGCCTTCAGAAAGTGAAGAGTGAGCGGGAGCGACACTGGCGATGCTGGCGACTTGAGAACTTCCAGCAGAGTACGAGTCACTGTCTGTCTTTATGATGTCTTCTCCCTTCGGAGCGCCATAGGCCGCCAGAGGGCTGAGAGGCGCGCTGTATGAGGGCTGAGGGCTGGGAGGCGCGCCGTAGCTTCCTGAAGGTGCTGCTGGTGCGCTCTTGGGTACTCCGCCTGTGCTGGGCTGCTGGTAGACGTGTACAGGCGGCCTCACTCCCTGGTAGATGATGATGGGCGGCTTGTGAAAGGCTTTGGGCGCTGGCAGGTAGGTGGGCTCAGCAGGAGCCTTGAGGGGTGGCCCATAGGATGGTCCAGGAGCCTTCAGTGGGGGTCCATACAGTGGCTTCGCCTTAGGAGGGGGACCATAGTTGGGTCTTGATGCCTTAGGAGGGCCATAACTTGGCCTAGATGCCTTTGGTGGGCCATATGAAGGGGTAGGAGCCTTAGGAGGAGGTCCATAGGATGGTGCAGAAGCCTTGGGAGGAGGTCCATATGCTGGTGGAGTAGCCTTTGGAGGCCCATAAGATGGTCCAGGAGCCTTTGGAGGTGGTCCATATGAAGGAATTGGAGCATTTGATGATCCATAGGATTGTAAAATACTTTTGGGAGGTCCATAGGATGGCGCAGAAGCCTTTGAAAGTCCATAGGATGGTTCAGGAGCCTTTGGAGGTCCATAGGATGGTGCAGGATATTTGGAAGGAGGACCATATGATGGTGTGGGAGCCTTAGGAGGAGGTCCGTAGGATGCCGGAGGAGTGTTTGGAGAAAGTCCATAGCTTGGTGCTGGCGCCTTGAGAGGAGCCTTGGGTGGGCCATACGTTGGGAGAGAGACCTTTGGTGGCGGCCCGTAGCTGGGCTTGTGTGGTGCCTTTGTCAGCTGGAAGACTGGCGGCTGCTGGTACACGTGGATGGGTGGGTGGCCAGCATAGATGATGTGTGGGGCGGGGGTGCCCTTAGTAGGGGCGGCCAGTGGGGGTCCGTAGGTCGGTGGTGGAGGAACGTATGGGGGTGTTTTAGTAAGGGGATGGCCATAGTTAGGAGCAGAGACCTTGGGAGGCGGGCCATAACTTTCCTTACTGGTGCCCTTAGCTGCCTTGGGCGGAGGGCCATAAGAAGGTTTGGGGGCATTAGAGAGGGCGTACTGAGGCTGTGGGGCTGGAACTAGGACGGGGCTAGGTGCAGGGGGAGCATTGATGTATACAGGACCGGTGTCAGAAGGGGCGCTGTACTGAGCACTTGAGGCCTTTGGCGGACCATAATTTGGTGGGGTAGCTTTAGGTGGACCGTAACTTGGGCTAACCTTAGGAGGATCATAGGTCGGAACTATGGACTTAGGAGGACCGTAGCTTGGAATAGGAGCCTTGGGAGGACCATAGCTTTGACTAGAATCCTTGGGTGATTCATAGCTTATGCTAGTGGCTTTAGGTGGACCATAGCTTGGAATGGGGGCCTTGGGAGGACTATAGCTTGCACTAGAAGCCTTGGATGGGCCATAGCTTGGACCAGGAGCCTTCGGTGGACCATAGCTTGGACCAGGAGCCTTCGGTGGACCATAGCTTGGACCAGGAGCCTTGGGTGGTCCATAGCTTGGACCAGGAGCCTTCGGTGGACCATAGCTTGGACTGGAAGCCTTTGGTGGACCATAGCTTGGACTGGGAGCCTTTGGTGGACCATAGCTTGGACTGGGAGCCTTGGGTGGTCCATAGCTTGGACTGGAAGCCTTTGGTGGACCATAGCTTGGACTGGGAGCCTTGGGTGGACCATAACTTGGACCGGGAGCCTTGGGTGGACCATAGCTTGGACTGGGAGCCTTAGGTGGTGGACCATAGCTTGGACTGGGAGCCTTGGGTGGACCATAACTTGGACCAGGAGCTTTGGGTGGTGGACCATAACTTGGACCAGGAGCCTTGGGTGGTGGACCATAGCTTGGACCAGGAGCCTTGGGTGGTGGACCATAGCTTGGACCAGGAGCCTTGGGTGGTGGACCATAGGAGGGTTTAGGGGCTTTAGGTGGTGGTCCATAAGTGTTCTTGGGAACCTTGGGTGGTGGACCGTAACTAGGACGTGGAGCTTTGGGCGGCGGACCGTAGATGGGCTTGGGGGCGGCCTTGAGATGGGCGTGAATGGGCGGCGCGGGCGTGTGGACGACGTGGACGGGCGGAGAGCTGTCAGACTGGTAGATGAGGACAGGCAGCTCGTGGTGCGGCAGTGGCACGTATTTGACCGGCTGAGACTTGACCGCCTTGTTTCCGTACCCACCAACCTGTGATCATGAACATTCAGTTAGTCATATGCACTCTGTGTAACACACTCGGCCACCTCTACACACTTGGCCACCTCTACACACTCGGCCACCTTCACACACTCGGCTACCTCTACACACTCGGCCAAACGTGGTGCCAATTTACAAGAAAGGAGATAGAGAAGAGGCACGTTAGGATTAAGGTATGTATAGGATTAAGGTCACTTAAGATTAGATTTGTAATATTAAGATCCGATGCTCATTTGTTTTCATGGCACCTATACCCCCGTGACGTTATTGTTTGTTGTTGTTGTTGTAATGAACGCCATGTGGAGCACACGTTCGTGTCTCTCTTCCTGTTGAATTGTACCAGTGGCGACGAGGATTAACACTATGGCAGAGAGCCTAGGTACGAGACGAAGTCTGCCTGCCCGAAACGCTGCGCGTGCTAGTGGCTTTACAAGACTGTAATTACCATAATTGTATCCTCACATTCCTTATGTACATTCTTGTATATGCATAAATAAAATAAAAATAAAATAAAATAAAAAGTGTGGAGCAGCAGAGAATGTCCAGCAAATGGAATGAACTAAAGGAGGAGGCTGAAGAAGAGCTATATTCTTAGTTTTAAAAGTAAATATGGTAAATATGATAGGGTAAAGGGTCAGGAGTCATTGCAATTGGCAACCAGTGGCTAAAAGAAGCGGGAGATCCTAGAGCTAAAGCTGGATCCTGCAGGCATAGACAGGTGAGTACACTCATCCATTACTTATAACAACACACACACACACAAGGAGGCTACAGGGATTGACAGAATGGGGGAAAAAATATATTGAGAATTAATACAAACAAAACAAGAGGGCATGGATGGAAACTTAAGAAACAGGTGAACCATAAAGCTGTAGTGTTTGATCGCTGGGGAAAGTGAATGAAGTAAACGAGCACGTTATAATACACACACACACACACACACACACACACACACACACACACACACACACACACACACACACACACACACACACACACACACACACACAATACGCCGAGTGAGGATTTAGGTTAACAATACATTAAGTAATGCTTAATTTAGTTAAACATATTATGTGGCGTGGCAAGGGTTGTAGTAGTTCTTGTATAAGACAGAATGCTGACCGAAGGTCTAGGAGGACGAGGGAAGTGTATGATGGGAGGCTTCTCATCCGAGTATACGATAGGTCCAGCATACTCCACGGCTGGCTTGTAGGACCTGTGTGTATGTAGGCCGGGTGAGGGCGCTGGGTAATCCGCCCACACCACCGCCCACACACACGCCCACACCGCTGCTGGCGCCACCTGCAACACATACAACATCATCAGTAACAATTCTTACTCTTAACAATTCTAACTCTTAACAATAACAATAATAATAATAATGCTAATAATTATAATCAAAAAGAAAGTTTGAGGCATTTCACTGGCTAGTTCGACATACTGACGACATTATTAGGCTAGACGGGGGACGAATATTTAAATCTGTATTTCTTGAGCGCAGGCGGAAGATATACATAATAATTTACACATAGAAAATAGTAGAGGGGCTGGTCCCAAACCTGTACACAGAAATAACATCACATGAGACCAGAAGGCATGGCAGGATGTGCAGAATACCCCCGTTGAAGAGCAGAGGTGCAACAGGTACTCTGAGAGAGAACTCTATCATCATCAGAGGCCCGAAACTGTTCAACACGCTTCCACTACACATAAGGGGCATAACTGGCCGACCCCTCACTGTGTTCAAGAGAGAACTATCAACATCAGAGGCCCGAGACTGTTCAACACGCTTCCACTACACATAAGGGGCATAACTGGCCGACCCCTCACAGTGTTCAAGAGAGAACTGGATAAACACGTCCAAAGGTTGACCAGTCCAGCAATGAGGAGGCCTGGTCGAGGACCGGGCTGCGAGAACGCTAAGCCCCGAAAGAATCACAAGATAACTCATTGTGTCCCCATAATCCTCTCCATCACTGCTACGGGATGGGTATGGGGTGCATATTAAATCACTAAACTATATAACTCCCGGGAATATATTAGTGCTAGCTGAACATGGGCATCAGGTGAAGGAAACGTTCCGAACAATTTCTGTCTCTCGGAGTGCTATCCCGGGAATTCCGACTGTGAGCCAAGAACGTAGACAACTGTGCTGCATCAATCACGTCACTCTTACTCTTTGTCTTTCTGGAGCATGAAAGTGGACCCATTTTAATGTCTCTTTACACGAAGGATTTCTAATTGGTGGGTTGGTGGTGGGTGGTGGGTGGTGGTGGTGGGTGGTGGTGGTGGTGGGTGGTGGTGGTGGGAGGAGTGGTGGCGGGGCAGGCGTCACGGCACACGGGCGGCAGGAAACACTTAGAGCAATAACAGGGTCTCGGCGAGGCAGCTGACGGCGCTGACGGAGGGAGGAATACCCTCGGGTTTACACTAGAACTGGACCGTGTCGCCCCCTGGGGTGGAACACCTTCATTACCACCCGTCTCCTCCCTCACCACCACGCCCACCACCACCACCACCACCACGACCACCACCATCACCACCACCACCACGCCCACCACCACCACCACCACGCTCACCACCACCACCACGCCCACCACCACCACCACCACCATCACCACCACCATCACCACCACCACCACCATCACCACCACCATCACCACCATCACCACCACCACCATCACCACCACCATCACCACCACCACCACCACCACCATCACCACCACCACCACCACCATCACCACCACCACCACGCTCACCACCACCACCACCACGATCACCACGCCCACGGCCTCGTTATAGAGTAAACAGTTTTACATAATTATGCGTGACGGGGAAATGTATGATCTCATCTTCCTATAAGAAACATGTGTTGCCGTGTCAGAGCCACCCACCGTGGCCGCCCACCCTCCTACCTCCACCCACCGTGGCCGCCCACCCTCCTACCTCCACCCACCGTGGCCGCCCACCCTCCTACCTCCACCCACCGTGGCCGCCCACCCACCATGACACTAGGATTTTTATAAGCGTAGACAACATTGAGGACACAGCAAACTTCCAATCAGACGTAAATCAGGTCTTTCAATGGGCTACAGGAAATAGTATGGTATTTAGTGAAGATAAGTTCCAGCTCATGCGCTACGGAAGAAAATAAAATATATAAACAGAAACCACGTACAAAACGCGGTCAAATCATAACATAGAACGAAAAAGCAAAGTGAAGGATTTGTGTGTACTCATGTTGGAAGACCTTACCTTTAAAGAACACAATAAAGTAGCCGTCACAACTACAAGAAAAATGACAGGTTGAATAACAAGAACTTTTTAAACTAGAGATGCTATACTAAAAAGATGATACTCTTCAAGACGCTAGTGCTCTCTAGGGTGGAGTACTGCTGCACAGTGACAGCCCCTTTCAAAGCTGGAGAAATTGCTGACCTGGAGAACGTGCAGAGATCCTTTACTGCTAGAATACACTTGGTAAAACATCTAAACTATTGGGACTAAAATGCCTAAATCTGTATTCTCTTGAGCGCAGGCGGTGAGAAACAATAATTTTCACATGGAAATAATAGAGGGGCTGGTCCCAAACCTGCACACAGAAATAACATCACATGAGACCGGGAGGCATGGCAGGATGTGCAGAATACCCCCATTGAAGAGCAGAGGTGCAACAGGTACTCTGAGAGAGAACTATCAACATCAGAGGCCCGAGACTGTTCAACACGCTTCCACCACACATAAGAGGCATAACTGGTCGACCCCTCACAGTGTTCAAGAGAGAACTTAATAAACATCTGCAATGGAAACCTGATTAACCAGGCTGTGACTCTCCCGTCAGGCTGCTAGCAGCCTCGTCCAACAGCCCGGTTGACCAGTCCAGCAACCTGGAGGCCTGGACAAGGACTGGCCCGCGGGGACGCTAAGCCCCGAAACCATCTGTCAATCTGCTGTATGGTGTCTATTAATCTTGTTTAAATTACTAATCAAGCTGTCAATGTAATCAATCAGAGCTTTAATATAACAATGTGCTTTAATATACTTACTTATCTCTCATCTCATTTTTCTCTTGTAATGTATCTTTATCATTTATCAATTCTGATTGAAATTACCTACTTAAAATTATCTGCTAGATTAAGGACCTGCCCGAAACGCTGCGCGTACTAGTGGCTTTGCAAGAATGTAAATACTGTACTATCCAATGTATTCTCACAAACCCATTGTACCTTCTTGTATATATATAAATATATATATAAATAAATCACAAGGTAACGCACATGAAAACCCGACGCCCCCCCCCCCACCTCTTGCCCACCGTCAAGAGTGGGGTCATGACTGGTACATCAGCCCCCCACGTCTGGGGTCCAGCACATGGGGGTCCAGCACATGGGGGCAGCTAAACTCTCAGGGGAACACATTTATCACCATGTTGTGTCTAGCTGTGTATGGAGGGAGGGTGATGGAGGGGCAGTATGGAGGGAGGGGTGATGGAGGAGCAGTATGGAGGGAGGGTGATGGAGGGGAACAAATAAGGTACAATATGGTCATTATCTAGAGAAGTGGAGACGGCGGAGGATAGGTGCTGGGGGGGGGGAGGGTGGGGGAGGACCGTAGGGGACGAGTAATGGGGGGGAGGGGGTAAGGGAAACCCCCCAGGACCAAAAACTTTCACCATCGACCCACATAGCTGACGATCCTCCGTAGGCCTCTTTACCTCCCTAAAGCCTCTTTCTAGGCCACAGCTACACCCTGGTGCCTCCCTAGGCCTATAACTTACACAGAAGTATTGCTATACAAATGCTTATATGGTATCCTTTGGAAATCTAAATTTGCCATGTTTAATAGATTGTATTGCTTTGACAGTTCACCGTAGGCTTCGCCAAGGTGACGTCTCAATAATCGCGTGTCTGTCTTAAAAAAAGGTTCGTCATACCTGGAATTAACATTTCTGTCATTCTCTGTATATTCTTAAAATAATTAATGTCCATGTTGTACTGTGACGGCTGAACTGTACATCATAGTCCACGCGAGGCTTCCCAGCCTCATGATATTGGTCCAGAATAAGTTTATGATTGGTGGCTAGAGTGTATGTTGCCGTGAAGACCCATCCTGCTGGCCCTACACCCAGGCCAGCACCCTGCTGGCCCTACACACTGGCCAGCACCCTGCTGGCCCTACACCCAGGCCAGCACCCTGCTGGCCCTACACACTGGCCAGCACCCTGCTGGCCCTACACACTGGCCAGCACCCTCCTGGCCCTACACACTGACCAGCACCCTGCTGGCCCTACACCCAGGCCAGCACCCTGCTGGCCCTACACACTGGCCAGCACCCTCCTGGCCCTACACACTGACCAGCACCCTGCTGGCCCTACACACTGGCCAGCACCCTCCTGGCCCTACACACTGGCCAGCACCCTCCTGGCCCTACACACTGGCCAGCACCCTCCTGGCCCTACACACTGGCCAGCACCCTCCTGGCCCTACACCCAGGCCAGCACCCTGCTGGCCCTACACACTGGCCAGCACCCTCCTGGCCCTACACACTGGCCAGCACCCTCCTGGCCCTACACACTGGCCATCACCCTGCTGGTCCTACACAACACGGCACTATATCCACCTGCCTCAGTCTCACCTCTGTCTTATTGCTTTGCATTCCGGACCTTCCATTGTGAGGGAACCCGCCAGAGTGAAGGCTGCTTCTCCACTCGGTAAGGATTTTAGGCGCCAAGATCCTTACCGAGCGCCCAAGCCAGGGATTTGGCCTAGTTTCCGTATCCTGGCCGGCCGCTAGTCCTTAACTGTACACCTCTTAACACCCAGCAGTGATTGCGCAGCTGATTCTTAAACGACTGGCAAGTTGTATTCCAGGGAACTAGTGTGTAAGGTTTACTATGGGCTATAGGAAGGGAAGGCTGTCAGCATGCTAACAGGAGTAACCAGACGTCTGTTCCTAAATCCACCTGTGTAAAAAAAAAGTATCTTGAGCCGTCTATTCAATGCGTTATTAACTGTTGTGGTAAAGCGGTGACTATCCCAACGGCGATATTATATACTCTGCTGATGTTATCACGATTCATTAAGGTGGATATACCGCCAGAGATAAGGAAGGTTGTCAGGCGGCGAGCACCCAGGTAAGGAAAGGTGACCTTGGCCTTCAGGCCTTGGATTGAGACCTTACAAAGGCTTCAATCCACAAATGGATTGAATTCCACAAATGGTCAGAAAACTGGCAAATGCTTTTTAACATTTGGGAGCTGCAGTAAAAAAAAATAAACAAATCCTAGGAATAACAAAACAAAC